ATTTCACTTTTAAATTATCCAAAGATGCAAACTTTTTGGACTCCAGCCTTTCAATAAATCGGTTACAACATATCATAACACTCAAAACACCATCACTTCGTTACACCAGCAAAAACAAAAAAGAAAAGGCTTTGTAAGGCGCTTTGAATTGAAGAACTTTATCCACAACAATGCGTTTATTCAATTACACACGCGCATCCACGCAGATCCTCGCAAATCCCCTGATGCAAATCGTAAACAGCTGTGTTAGTGCTAGTTATGTCCTGCTGCTCATTTTAGTAGTGGCCGCTAGGAAAGTCTATATTGTCGTCATGAATTGCAATAAAAGGCTATAATTTCTTACAACTTAAATTTATTAAAATCTATCCAGGAGCTAAAAAACTAAACAAAACTATTATATAGTCAGATTAAATACTCAAAAGCGAGTTTACTTAACGAACCGCTAGGTGCAACCCAAGCAAACATTTCACATAATAGATCCTCAACTTTGCAAGCATGTCGTTCCTGAGATCAAGACCGTATTTCGGCCTAAGGATCGGACAATTGTTGGATCTAACATGGGATAATAGGATGCTGAACCCATTCATTCCTCTTGTAGCGATGGAACTTGATCTTTTTCGTGAGTGGGTTATGGAAATTGCTTTCTGTTACTCTTAAATATACTTGATTAAAGGAAAAGGGCCACCTTTAACATGGGGATTTAAACTGAGATAGCCATCTTGTAGCCCGTGTCCGAAAACCTACTTGGCCACCCCCTTACGGCCGACTTCAGTCTCCATTCGTAGTTATCGGCAATTTTAAAAGAAAATATGCCAGGAATGCGTTCTTATCCCAGGAATGCGTTCTTATCCGACAATACAGCCACCCGCGGCGAGGCTTTGGTTTTTAACCAATCAGCTTGCAGCAGTACTGATCAGGCACGGATCCCTGTACTAGCGAGCAGACCACGAGCAGTTGCGTTATTTTTCGTTGTCTGTTCTGGCAATCGGCCGGCGGATGAACATCCGCAATCGAAACTTGAAATCCGTCGCGCTGATTGGTGATGAGTTTCATGAGCTACTTTCATGAGGTCTATGAAAGTAAACCTATGCTATGCCCTGAACAGATGACATCTCGTTTGGTAGCCAATTATGTATTTTTATCTTACGCAAGGCAGTATACCATATTTTATACCGTGGCTCTGATCCGAAATCAGGGCATTTTTGTTCGAACAAATACCTATAACGATGAAGAAGTGCGTGATCCGCGGAGCAATTAACGACCTACGTCGGGTCGGGGTTATATGGCCTTGGGGTCGGGACTGATATGCGTGTGACTGTGCACAAACTTGTGACAAGTAAGTACCTAGGTACCTAGGTAGGTACCTAAATTCTTATTTATTGCAATGGCTCTTCTATTACTTTTGTTTTCACAGAACTCTCCCCTGGATTAGCAAACCCTTTTGAACTGTTCAGGCTTTCACAACTGAAATGCCAGACTGGATAAAAAAACACAAGTTATGCCGAATATGTCATGCGAAGTGGCGTGGTTGCAGCGTTGCCCCGAAAATTTCATCGCACATCCAGCATAATTTTGCATGCGTCAAATTCAGCGCATGGTGGCAGCTGAATTTTTAGGCGCAGGGTGACCGCATGGCGCATAATGTTTATGCAAATGGCTGTCACCGAATTTTTTGACACACTGTGGTCAATCTAGCAGCAGACTTGCCCTGCGGGCGCCGGCAGGTCTGAAGAGAGTCGGAACTTCCGGCCTGGGCCTTGTTTCACCTTAAGATTCTACAATGTGCCACACAAATTGTGGTATTGGGTTTTCATGGGAACATTAACTAATTCAGACGCTCAGAAAGGGAAGAGCGTCTGACTCAGAGGCCCCGGAACGATCTGTCTGGTTGATATAGCCTTGGTCGGTAGATATGCACATGTGCTTTATGTAAAAGTGGCTTAATTTTGGTGCAAACAGGCACCCAACTTTCAGTGGAAATCATGCACTGGAATTTCAGCTCAAAATTGCTTGCTTCAAATTTTGGCGCATGAGGGGCTCACGGGCATCCGGCGTAGTGTATGGATGTTTTCCAGTCTGGCTGAAAGGCAGAACTCAGACACATTTATCCAGCCCTTCAAATCCCATTTCCTGGTTGTGGTAACACCTACCTTTCCATGGGGGTTTGGTTCATCTCTTGTCTACACAGTTTTCTTTCACTTATGTGCTGACAAGAAAAGGAAACTCACCAGAGCCCAGTTTCACCAAGTGCGGTAAACTCAATTTGGGGTAAACTACTAAACTACCCCACTACTTAACTACAAAAACTACCCCAAAATTAAGTTTACCGCACTTGGTGAAACTGGGCTCAGTGGAGCTATTCAGCTTAATACACAGAGTATGTGTTGCATGGACTAAGCATGTGTTGACCCTTTTTTACTTTTAGGTTCCCGCTAAAAAAAAGAATTACAGAGAAAAGTGGATGAGGGTGTGTGGCATGACCAATGAGCCAAGACCACATGACCACTTAAACTTAACAAGAAGTGCGCACCATGATAAGCACAGTCAAAAACGTTTGCGTCTAAAGAACAGTGCTGTGCCGGATCAGAATGTAAGTATTTTTTAAAAGTGATGAAAATGCCTGCTATATTGTTTAAAAAAAAGTTATCAAAAGACTTTGAATATTGTTTTTGTAACACTTCACTCTAAAGTTATTCCTAGTACCAGACATTACAGCTTTAGTGCAGAGTCTTTATTTGTGATATTTTTAGCCAAAAATTATTACTAGTACCGAGCCCTTACAGCTTTACAGCACTAGTACCTTGACCTTATTTTTTATATTTTTTAGCCATTTCAACCTAACCGAATATCTGTATGTTTGTATGTTATTGTTTTGATCTGTATTTTATGCTACCTCCCTATAGGTAAGTTTTATTAAAACATGTGGTAACGGTGTGCTGATTTTTTACAGATTCCGTATACGCCTTGGGTTGCTGTCGCTGCTCGGTCACCCACAGATGAAAGTGATCAAGAAATGGACATCACTCAGGTAAGATTCAAGCGTCCTTTATTTTACACATAATACACTAAGCAGTAGCACCCTAACCGCAACATATGGGAATGCATTGCCTGGTGGGTGCCTACTGCCTACCTGTATGCCAAGTTTCAGCTAAATCGCCCCAGTAATTACAGAGTTATTGAAATGGGAACAAATTCGGCACCTCTTCTTTTTACATTTTGCACGTGCAGTGGGGGTCACTCACATAGATCAAGAGCATCCGACCTTTGGTTGAAGGGGTGCAGCTACCCTACAAAATTCACCGCAAGACCGCCCAAGCGGCTGCTGAGATATGAGCCTCTCAAAATCACTTCTTTTGCAACTTTTGACAAATAACACCCTTGACTTTTCACGTGGCACGTGCCACGACGGTCCCTGTAATGTATCAAGAGTAGTCAATTACGGGGTAGAAGGAATAGGGCTACCCAACAAAAAAAAGACCGCAGGCCAATCGGTCCAGCGGTTGCTGAGATATAAGCCTCTCAAAAGCGTTACAGGCCGGGCCGGGTCGGGCCGCTCATACTGAGCTTTTTCCGTGATATTGAAAAGACTTCGCTTCGCTCGCTCGCTCGTAATTAACAATTCATGGTTGACTATATGGATTAAGCTAAGTGATTGCGCTCTATTAGCACACTATCTAAGTAGCCCTTAATTGCTGCCGGTGCGTTGACTATGAAAGTGAGCCGAGCTGTGACGCAAACCGTGCGCCTTTTTCAGGTGTGGGATCACTCGTGGAAGTTCACGGCGGATACGGAGCCGTGCATGCAGCTCTGGTTCGATCCTGCTCAGGGAAGCCCCAATGACGCCGTGGCGCGTATCTGGGCTGAGCGGGTGGTGGCGGGCGCTGCCGCGTGGCTGGTGGCCGCGGCCCGCTCCTGACCCGGTCGCCCTGTGCCGAGCACAGAGCGCCGACTGAGGTCAGTCTTGTGATCGAGCTTCCGCGCCGGAGGTGGAACAGCTGGAGCTGGCGGTCACCTGCGCGGGCTCGGCGGCCTGTAAGCCGTGCCGAGACGAACCGCGACACTCTTGCTAGATCTGCACCCCATTGTAATCTTCTGTAGTCGATATTCGGTAGGTACTCAATGCTCATTTTTCTGATATTAGACGAGTGGCGTGTTTTGATGTTACATTGGAGACTGCTGTCTCGGGTGGCCCGACAGTGTTCGATTGTGGTGTAATGTAGATACATAGACGGGATGCCGCGGCTCGGATTCGTAGCTGGACTACCATGTGCCTGTCGATTGAGATGCTTTGCCTGGCGATTGAGATGATTCGGGGCGCGGCCCCACACTGACGCCATGGTGCAATGAGTGACTGGCGACAACTAAGCAATTATGTACTTTTGTAGAACACATGTTTTCATGGATACTAGAGGCAGTCCTTTTTTCGCTAGCAGTCATTTGGTTCACGATACTTTCGATACCGACAAATATGTTCGGGCGGCCGGTCCGTCCACAGCTAATGCGTGCTTGCCCGCCGATGCCTAACGGAGCGCTGTGCTGTCTACGCTCACTGGTCGCTGGCCCGAGAGCCGTTCGGTTGCTGCTGTTAAAACAGTTCTCACAAAAACACGCTGGCTGGCTGCCAGTTCTTCACCAATGAGAGGCCCAGTAGCATCAGCAGGTAGCATTGTTTAATATTACTATTCCATTTTGTTTACCCATATGTCCGACCTAGAGCCGACTGGTAAAAAGCGGCAACCGAGCAGCCCTCCGCAGCGCTGCAGATCATGTACGCTCGATTATACACAATATATGTGTCTTTCTTGCACACAGAGACATGACGTTTTGTAGAGCTTTTATATCGCTTGCGGCTGAAAGGAATATTGTACATTTTAGAGCTTTCATATACGCGAGAAAATATGGTGCAAAAAACATTTATGAAGCCTGTTGAATTTTAAAGGTTGTTGGGGCATTTCACAGACTGTGTCGGTGGGCAGGGCAGCCCGGCCCCGGCCGCCGCCGCCGCCGCCTCCTTCACTGGTATGTGGCAGGGACGGAAGCTTCGTATTGATATACCGGGGTGCAACTCAAGCAGCATATCACCTATCAAACAACCTTCGGTTATGAAGTGAATGAAAACTAAATATTATGTATAACTGTGGTCTGCGCTGCGGTGTTTCCAAAGTGGAGGAAGTACGGGGAGCTGGACCCAGACTCGATGAGCCCTCTACTACGGATCTGGGTCTTCGCAGCTGATCGTCTGTGAATGAGAGATCATATGATACCAATGCATACCGAACGGATAAAAAACAGTGCCATTATATATTTGCAATTCTACAGCTTTACGTAAGCCCATCCTAGTGAATGCATTACTACGCGTTGATTTGACAACTGACATCCGGTTGAAAGCGTTTTTTTTTCGGCCAACAGCCGGCCAGCAGTTGTTGCAGGCCGGCCTCGTTGGGAAGCAGGTTCATTTTCCGACAGCCACTGCGTGCGGAAGCACTCTCTGATGGCGCGGACGGCGCGCGCCGGCTCCTGTTTCTGTAACGTGTAGAGGCGGGTGTCGAGCAGCTGGGCGCGTAGCGGGCGGTCCTCGAGCACGCGGAACACGGCCGGCTGGCGCGGGTACAGGCGCTCCCTAAACAGCAAGCCCGAGTGGTGGCAGAGTCGAGCGTCGCGGCGCGGCAGAGCGCGCGGCGCGGCCGCCGTCTGTTCCAGCTCGGCGTCGGCGCGCCCCTCGGCGAACAGCAGGTGCAGCTGACGGTCGGCCAGGCAGAAGCCGCTGATGCCAGGTGTGCTGACGTCGCCGGGCCGGCGCGGCGCGGCGCCCTCGGCCGCCGCCGGGCTGGGCGGCTCGTTGAGCTGCTGGATGAGCTGCGGCACGCCGCTGCGCTGCAGGCCGCGCTGCGAGACGACGGCTCACGGCCAGCAGGCGGCCGTAGGCGCAGCGCGCCGGCGCCGGCCGCGGCAGCAGGTCCAGCGGCACGGCCAGCGACACGGAGACGGACAGCTGCGCCGCCGACTGCAGCAGCTGCAGCGGCCCGAACGGCGGCGGACACGTGCCGCGCTCAATGTCGGCCGCCGGAGAGGCAGCCGGTCCGGCCGGCACCGCTGTCAGCGGCACCTCCACACTGAGCAGACGCACGCCGCGCGTCAGGGCAGAGACGTCCACCACCACCTGCCGCGCACACAGAGGGCCGACAGTGGTGACAGCGCGCGGCGGGTCAGACCTCACAGTGGGGATAGCGGCAGCGGGTCAGACACCCTTATAGAACAGCACGGGGCGGAGCCGACAAAAGAGGACGAGGAGACGATCATACAGCCGACTGAGGTCCGGGCACCGACTGACTCAAAGTGCTGAACATGTCAGTTGTCACACATTTCTAAATGGATTCTGTAGGACGGAATAGTGTCTCTTCCTTCCAAGGCTTACTTGCAGAATAATATGGAAAGACAATATTTTTACAAGTTGTGTTTTTATGACATAAGTTCTTTATAACATTTCAACACGCAAACATCATACCTTGACAATTGTTCACGATGAAGATCATGCAGGAACATTTCATATTAAGTCACCCTTGATTATTTTGTTGATAGTGATGCGAAAGGCAAATTACCAAAGTATATATTTGCAATTATTTGAGTTAATAATTTCAACTTTTTTTGTGTTGAAAATTGACTTTTGAAACAATAAAGGCAAATGAATTATCAGTGTCTGGAAAGGTGCAATGCTGAAAGCTTCTTAATACATTCTAATTTATATCTAAAGCTTTGTGATATCCAAACTATCAGAAATAACCAAGGACGTAACCAAGGAGGGGGGAGGGGCACGGGAGCCATGCCCTCATGCCCCTTCCCCCTCGGTGATGGCGATTTTTTTTTATAAAATAAAACCAGCTGTGACACACCCCCAAAATAGTGGGCCTAATCCGAGAAAATTTTCCTTTTTTGGAGGGAGTACAACACTAGGCCACAACCTGTGACCCCCCCCCCCCCCCTGAGCAAAATCCTGGCTACGTGCCTGGAAATAACAAAGCACATCCTATCCTTTGATGCCACTTACCAGCAGCTTTGCGCACTACCAAACAGCCACCTTTGGGCCTTTGTTGTTCTTGTTTTGGGCATTGTCAGTGGTAACTGGAAATAATCAGACATGATGGTCAGAGTAGGGAATGTGACTACAACAAAAATCATTTGATTCCTATAATATAGACATGATTTAATAGAAGACCTTCTTCTTAAGAAAGTGTGTCATGGATACCAGCTAATCTGTATGGTATTTATCTCCAGTATTATCATATAGGTATAACAATTATCACCACCCGCCAACATTGAATGTAGGTTTTAGGTTGTAGGTTGTAGGTGGTAGGTTGGGTATCGGTAAAGCTGGTGTCACCGTCAGCGCTAACCGGTAAATGTGTAGATAAAAGGAATCTTAAAAACAATCTAACCTAACCTTACCTTACCAACTGACCTACAACCTACCTACCCACAACCTACCAAACTAATATACGCTGACAGTGATGCCAGCTTTACCAATGCCGTACGTTGTAGGTTGTAGGTAAGGCTAGGTCAGGTAAGATTATGTTTCATTATATATTTACTGAGAAGACGGCTGAATGCTCTTGAGACGTGGCTATACATTTACATTTTGTAAGTAATTTTCAGGTTTCAATGAATATTTCCTAGTGGAATATTTTGAAAACCATTCTAAATGATGACCTTTAGCATTCAATAGTACTTTAAAGCTAATTAACCACATCGCCAATGCTAGGTCACATTGCATGCCTACTTCCACCAGCAGCTCCATGGGATATATGATGGGCAGGGGTGAATGGAATATTTTTTATTAATATTCTTGAAGAAAATTATAGGCATGAAAAGAAGATGATCTGCCTTTGAGATTGATATGTGATGCCTACTTTGGAGGAACATAATCATAATAATTACACAATCATAAAAAATGCAATGTAACCAAACAGCCGCTTATGCCGCAAAATGAGAATCAAGCCAATCACTGAGGACAAACAATTTCAAACCACCAAAACTATATTCTTGCTATTCACCAATAATCCTAAAATAGCGTTCCATGGCCATTATATGCATCTTTCACCCTTACCTCCGACAGATAACTAGCGCCACGGGCAGACACACGGGGCGACAAGTTGTTTACAACCGCTACAGTCCGACGAGTCTATCCTCCTCAAGGCTGATTGGCTTGAGTGTGACGTCATTGCTATGACATCATACAGTAGCTGCGGTAGAGAGTATAAACATAGTACCAATATGTTAAATAGTTTGAAATACTTTTTAGCGAATTATGCACTTCTGGCACCGGTTTTGAAAAGAAAATGGAAAATAGTAATGTCAAAATAAAAACCAACGATATTTTCATATTTCAAGAAGGTGGCACTTTTCCTTTAAGGTACAGATTTTGCGCTAATATGACATAAGTATAAGAAAATGAGGTGCTTACCATTCACAGAATAAAAATTTTGACGTCATAAATTCAAACTATTTTTTTTCAATCAATTGCTAGTTTACCTTCTTTCATTTGATGAAAATAATATTCATTATTATTTAGTATCAAATGAAACTTATTTTAAACATTTCAATCAAAATTCGAAATTGTTTTCGAAAAAAATGAAGTGAAACCGTGAAAGGCTTGTGACGTCAAACAACCCAAACACAAGACAAGTTACCGCAGTTTACCGAAGTTACCGAAGTTGAAGCCTCGCCGCCTTGGTTTCTCGGCCTTGCTCTGTGCATCTGTGGTTGGAATTAATTATGTTTTAGGGCCTTGGAATTAATGATTATTTTCTTTACCCCTGAAAAATTCCCATTCGGTTTTTCACCGCGTGCACACCTGTGAATACAAGTAAGGTAATTTTTTCATTTTTTCCAGTTCCTTGCCCCGCGCAAGCATAGGTACTCGGTGAAGTTTCCATTTTTACTTCCGATTACTACCTACAATAGGTGAGGTAGGTACCTAGGTACTTGCACAGTCGAATCATCATGATCAACCTTGGGTTCGACTAATGTGATAATTTTCTGGGATCACCGGTAATTTTTTGGTATTGCAGCAACCATCGATGCTGATGCAAATAGTTAATGTTTAGCTTGTTTTTGCTTCATCTTCGCAAATGCTTCTTACTCATTGCCATGTCTGTTGCGCACGGTGTCAGCCTAAAACACCGAATAATCCAGATGATCCTGGAAAATTATCTCTGCATAGTGCTTATCTGGGTGTCGAACGCATGCCAAATATCCTGAGGGGTGTTCACGGGCACTGCAAACTGCTGAGTCTGATGTGTGCATTGTGCAGCAGGCGTGGGGGTAGGGGATGGCCGATGGGTAGGCGGTTTTGACGTCACGGCTGCATGCGGTGGGCTGTCCCTGTGGCCGGTTACGAGCGGTAGACTCGCGGTGTGCTGGACGGCGAGCTAACCGATCGGCTGAAGTTAGTCCCACCTGGCGACCCGACGCGATGGGGATGCGGGACATGCTTGGATATATTTACAGCTGCTTTCGGCCATTTTAAGCATGTCGATGACTTTGCACTTAGTGAAGTCATTCGAATCACACCTGTGCTGCTGCATCCCGGCCCCCGGGTATCAGGTCAATAAGCTGAAGGTAACTGTTTGACTAAACTGTGTCCATGTCTGACTTTATGCCAACCTACCTGAATGTTTATGCCAGCAGGTGGCTTTGTAGCAGCTCTGCAGCCTCATAGTCCCTGGCCTGTCATGAGTCGCATCATCCGCTCCTGTCGCTCAGTCGGTGCTGCATCGGCCAGGCTGGGCCAGCATGAGGCGACACCGGCCATCGCTAGTTACCAGGTGAGTCCAATCAGTTTTTAGGAACTTGCCATTGAAGACATCGACACACGTCTCGCATCTCGTACAAGTCGACGATGTGTGTCAATGTGTGTGTTTGTGTGGGCGCGTGCGCGCGCGCGTGCGTTGGTGTGCATCAACCAGATCAGTCGGTGACGCGGCGCCTCGTGACGTTGTTTTCTCCAGCGCCGCCACCTGAGCGGGCAGCAGGCGCCGCAGCGACCACAGGGCTTCATAGGCAAACTGATTGACAACATCAAACAGGAGTATGAAAAGAATAAAGAGATGAAGGAGAGCCTCGAGAAGTTCAAAAAGGAGGCGGAGAAGCTGGAACAGTCCGAGGCTCTCAAGAAGGCCCGGTAGGTTGGGACTGGAGTAGCCAATGATTAAAAGGCCGAACTTGTTTCTGCGTATGCCAAAGAATTACATTTTATGTCATTTCTTTGTTGTTTCTTCCTTGATTTGCGAAGGAATATACTTTGTATGAGTGCAACGTAAAATACGAGGCGGAAATTACGTTTGGGGATGATCCATTGTACCTTAATTACGTTTATTCATATTCAATGTTTCTTCCTACACCTAGTGGCTTCGTCTGATACACTTCTATGCCAACAGCGAAAAGTACGAACGGTTGGAATCAGAAACTGGCGAAGGGTCGAAGCTTGTTCAGGAGAGACTGGCTTCCCTCAAGAAGAAACTGGGGGAAACGATTGACGAGGCGCAAAAGCTGGAGCTGATCAAAAAAGCCAGTACGTGACCTTGAGTCTGAATATTAAATAATCTGTAGGCATGGCCCATGTTAACATGTGTTTTTTCGATCAAATAACGTCATAAGTTAGCTTGTACTCCCGTTTCTCACAGCCCAGCTGATGGGCGTCCTGCGCCGCTGCCCGTTTCCTCCAACTGACGGAGGCCCCTTCCCCGTTCCTGCAGCCCATCTGACGGAGGCCCCTTCCCCGTTCCTGCAGCCCAGCTGACGGAGGCCCCTTCCCCGTTCCTGCAGCCCAGCTGACGGAGGCCCCTTCCCCGTTCCTGCAGCCCAGCTGACGGAGGCGATGAACAGACAGGCGCGTCAGACGGCAGAGGGCCTGGCCGAGAAGGGCGAGAAGCTCGGAAAGTCAGCCACCTTCCAGACCCTCTCTGACACGGCACGTGCAGTCAAACAGGAGATCGACGACAGCACCATCGGCAGCCCGGGCGTAAGTCGCCCTGCTTCCTCCCCCCCCCCCCCCACCGTGCGTAGTACGGGCGTTAGTCACCGCCATCCGCCCGCCCCCAGACCTGCAGTCCGGTCATAAGCCTCCACCGTCCTCCCGTCCCTGCCTCCGCCCCGTCCGGTGGTCAGCTGCTGCCTCCATCCACCTCGCCGCTACCGCTGACACTGCAACCAGACTGCACCAACAGCTCGCGTAGCCCTGGGCGTCTCGATTCCTTGTCCAGTTCGGCTTTCAGATGGTGATGACGGATTAACGCATACCTAAATCCTGGATTTTTGCATCGTGGGGATCCATTTCCTGACCTGTTTGACCTAACCCTGACGGTCTTGTTTAAGTCGCCCTCGGGCTCTCAGGACCTCAATCAGTGTCCCGAGTGTCCCATTTCCGTAGGATTCTCGAGCCCTGCTGCGTGCCAAACTCCCCTCAGGGTATGAGAATCTCTCCTCGGGCCCCGGGACCCACCGTCAGTCGATAACTCACGAACCGTCCCACAGGTGTACCGGGCGCCCAAGGTTCTCCGGAAGCGGAAGAGTGACGCTCCAGCGGCAGAGGACGACCGCGTGGTGGCCGCTGACTCGGAGACGACTGGTGTTGAGCTGCACAAGGACTCGCGCTTCTACGCCAGCTGGCAGAACTTCAAGGTGAGCGGACATTGTGGCGCACTGGTTCATTGTCTCGTTTTTCATTCGGTATTCTTTTATTTTATTTTTAACACGACGTGCATCTTTATTTCTAGAGTAGTTCAACAATCTAATCCAGCGTTATATTAGTGAACGGTATCCTTTGTAGAATCGGTTGTTGGCGGTCATATTAGCGTCGCATCGCGCTTAGGAGAGCTTTGATATGTTTTTCGGCCTTGCTATTTGTGCTCATGAGATGTGAGTATGCTGTGTTATGTAATACCGTTGTTATGTTTCCGTCATTGCTAATGTAGTGTCATGCCTCGCAGGACAATAACGCGTACGTACATAAAGTGATGGACTGGAAGACGAAATACGACGAGAGCGACAACGCAGTGCTGCGAGCCTCCAAGCTGCTGACGGAGAAAGTCAGCGACATCATGGGCGGCCTGTTTCAGCGGACAGAGCTCTCAGAGGTCAGTCATCCGGCCGCGAGGCTGTAGCCGTCGAGAGTCAGTCGTCGTTTCGGGGGGGGGGGGGGGTTGTCGGACGGGACAGTTGTCGGTTATTGGTTGTTGACATGTTTGCCGAAACCCGTGGTTTACGTACGTACATAGGACGGGACGGTCTAATGTGCGCACATGGGACTCACGTAGGACGTTACGCACAACGTTCCGCATATAGGATGTGACGGTTGCGCATTCCCATATTGTAGATTCTACACGTTTGCGGAGTACGGTCAACTGCAGTGCACCCTGTCCGGCTGTACGTACTCGCTCCGTCCGCTCTGCCGTGTGTGACCCACCATTACTTTGTGACCGACCTATCCCGTCCCGCCACAACTACAGGTCCTCACAGAGATCTGCAAGATGGACCCGACGTTCGAGAAGGACGCCTTTCTGCGCGAATGCGAGCACGACATCATCCCGAACATCCTGGAGGCGATGATTCGCGGCGACCTGGACGTGCTGCAGGACTGGTGCTACGAAGCCACCTTCAACGTGCTGGCGCAGCCGATCCGCACGGCGCGCCAGCTCGGCTACCACTACGACTCCAAGGTGCTGGACGTGGACAATGTGGACCTGGCCATGGGCAAGATGATGGACCAGGGCCCGGTGCTCATCATCACGTTCACCTCGCAGCAGATTCTCTGTGTGCGGGACGCCAAGGAGAACGTGATCGAGGGCGACCCGAACAAGATCATGCGGGTGAACTACGTGTGGGTGTTGTGCCGCGACCAGACGGAGCTGGACCCGCGCGCCGCCTGGCGACTGCTCGAACTATCCGCCAGTAGCACCGAGCAGCTGGTATAGCGGGACCGGATGTGTCGCACCCAGGGTATGTGTGTGTGATAAAGGGCCACCGACAGTGGTCTGTCCCTAGGTAATCATCGGTCAGGTGTCTCCAATAGGAGGTTCGGAGCTGCCGACGGAGCGCCGTCACTCCGGCCAACCGCAGTGCAATGTCCGCAGCGGTGCCTCGCCGCTGTACCGTGTTATTACGCGCGTGTGAGGGCTACTGAGGGCGACCTGTGCGGGGCGCGCTCGCGGTGGCTCGGGCGTTCTCATCTCCCGCACCGCGAGCGGGGCCGGGGGTAGGGGTCGAGCCGCGCCAACGCCACAGAAGCAGTGTCTGTGACTCGTGTCTGTAGCCTGTAGGGCATGTATGTGCGTAAGGGGAGATATGATCGCATTGACCATAGAATGTTCTGCCCAACTGACTGACAAATATACATGTTATTTGTAAACTTGGCGAGTTGCAATGTAAGAAACTTGTGACAGAATCCGAACTCCAAAAAGCCGCTTAGTCAGAGACTGGATCAGTGCTGAGTGTGCAATACTTGTTGCAATATTTGTGCAATATCTGCATCAACTTGGATAATTAAAGCGCATGTGTAATCAGTGATATTGACGTGAGCAAGGACGTGAGATCGTTTTGCCTTCATATTAGCTATTTATAAACGCAGCGTATTCTTTGATGTAAATCTTTGATCGTAGTCTTTGTCTCTTTGATAAGTTATAAAGATGAAAATATGCGATAATTGTGAGGCCGCGGAGAGTAGCAAGACTGTAAGTTAACGCACCTTGGCAAACACCAAGGTATATAAAAACACTGGCAAATGGCAAACACTATACTTGCACTATACTATTTATATACACTGTACACTATACACTCTACACCGTAAAACGGAGACAACTCTGACGCAGGACGTCTGAAAATGAAGTGCCCTAAATCCTTCGTCTGTAAGGTCGATTTTATTGTGTTTCAGCACCGTGCTGGCGCACTTATGATGTGTCGCAGTAACGACGGTGCTGCCCGCATTGTTTTTGCATAAACGACAAAGCAATGGCAATGGGGACCTTGGGACGGCCTTGCTCGGGAGCATATTTACGTCTGGACAACGAGTTGCGGGGAAAAGTGCTGATTGTGTTGCAGTTTTAGGAGCCGGTGATTAGGCTGGATTTTTGGGTTACTTTTTCGTTCCGATTCATGTATTTCATAGTGTTTGGCTTTTGAATATTTTAGTTCTGTCAGATAAATATTACTTGCCTTACAACTTTTGTAAAAACGTTTCATTTTTTTATAAGCCGACGTTCAGAGTCCTAAAAATACATCAGCACTACAATGATTGTAAACAAACAAATGGAGCACCACTTGGCTCTGTTCCTAGGCCATTTTTTAGTTTATCTGGTGGTTTTCTTGCTCTTGTACGTCGTTTTGTTGGATGTTTTGAATCCCTTAAGATTGACTTATATCATATTTAAGAAGCATGTTGACTGAAAACAATCTGAAGTATCCAGGAGGATGACAGAGGTCTGACTACTGAGCAATATCAATATCAAGTTGTACAAGTTATGAAATTTTGGTTGATAAACGCAAGTTGATCGGGCTCATATATCAGCAAGAAAAAGTAAAATTAAAAGAGCTTATTGTCCAAAAACAAGCTATAATATTGCAGACCTTGGAGCAATACTGAAGAGCACGCTGAGCAGGATCATGCCAGAAAATGTTGACTGATGAGTGCATATTGATGCATTGGTATGAATATTGAATGATAACTTACAACAGCAAGATAAATTAGTGCTAACTATCAAGTTAAAATCTAGAATGAATGGACTTGGGCAGTTTTACTATGCTTGGATGCTATGCAGATTGTAATGTGCATCAGGTACTCAGTGTCTGGCAAATGAAACATGCGATCATTCCATTGCTACTGGAGGAGAAAGCTTGGATCACTAAATCCACTTTATGTTGATTTTGATGTTAATCATCATCACTGTATTTCTTGAAAAAAAGGATTGTAGTAAAATTGTCAATGTGACAATCCATGCAACGATGTGATCATATTATGTGTTCATAGTCATTCGTGATAGTCATTATTGGTCCAATATACAATGGCAAAGCACTCAGTCTCAGCGTTTCTTCCTGTGGATGGCCAGCAGTGACTCAGAGCTTAGAAGCATTAGTTTTCTTCACAGGGCTGGGATAAAAAGTACTGAGGGTAATCTTCCACCAAGGAACTCTACTTTGACATGGTATGAGATGTAGGCACAAGTAGGTAGGTGCTCAGTTCCTATAGTCAGTAGTTGTGTATGTTTGGTCGGGTTAGCTTAGATCAGATTGTTAGTTTTTTAATTTGCCAAATGTCCATAAAAATGTGACCTGAGCAATGAGCATACCTGAACCTGACTAACCTGACAGCTGACCTAACCTCAATCATCACACATATTTGCAGCCTACCCAAGACCTGCATGGCAGTAGCACCCAGTTATAGGTAGGTACTCACCCTAACTCAATCTTACCTGCTAACCTTCAACTTGCCAAAAGTTAGCTCTGCCAAGCTGTGTCCAGGGAAACAGTCAAATGAGGAACTGGCTCATTGGGTGGCTGGTGTGAGTCTGTGCATTTAAAGTGTTTCTTCTCTGAAGCTGCTCTGCACTGCTGTATGTCATGTTAGATGCTCAGAAAATGTGGGAAATGATTACTAAGCTGCTTTAGTGCTTTGTTAATACTCGAGACATGAACAAGTACAGATCCTGCAGGGTACAGCTGAGTTAGGTGCTAGGTGAGTATGTTATGTGAATGTGCTGTTCCCTGTTTGACCGTAAGTATACAAACAAGCACAGGGTCACAGTTATATTCAATCTCCACATAAACATACAACAAAAACGGCCATATAGCCTAACTCCGAACACACCACAGATAACTTAAGCCTTTGAAGGCACAAAAATGTTTTGATTAACAGGACAGGTTTACAATATATCCTCTGTCCTTGGGGGATCTTGCTGCCAAGTTGAGGTATGATGACTGAACTTCAGGATTGATCAACCTTTTCTTAGCCACTGCTTATATACGAGAAAGACCAAATGCTTATTTGTTTTGATTTACAGGACATATATACAATATATCCTCTGTCCTTGGGGGATCTTGCTGCCAAGTTGAGGTACGATGACTGAACTTCAGGATTGATCAACCTTAATTCTTAGCCACTTGCACTGCTTATAAACGAGAAAGACCAAATGCTTGTTTGTGAACTGCGTTGAAAATTTAATGATCCACCTTCAATTCTGACATGAAGGCACAAATGAAATAGTTCCCTCTCCTTTTAGAATACACAAAGCAAAATATTTCATAAATTTTAGTGGATTGACAAGGGCAATTAGCATAGCTTTCCCTCAAGTTAACTTCTGGCGCTGTTGATGAATTACACTGACGCTTATTCGCTTCATATTTTGTAACAAACGCGCTAAAACTGCAATATAACAGCACTATATGCTTCTTGACAAATGCAATAGTATTAAAAATTTAGCCCTGATGGCATTCATTCTTGATGGAAACGTAATTACAAAATATTTTGTAGTAACTATTAAATTTCGGCCGAAAACAGTGCACGGTTAAAAAAAGAATCATTCCAATGACGGTCCATTCTTGCGGTCCTGAAATCGCCACTATTTCCGGCCTCTCCAACGCAACTCGTTGTCCAGACGTAAATATGCTGCTCGGGACAGTGCTGCCAGATTTGGAGGATTTCCGCAAATCTGGAGGATTTTGAACTCTTTTTGCGGACAAATTTCGCGTTTGGAGGATTTTTGATTCTGGAGGAAAATCTGGAGGATTTGTCACCCGATTAATATATTCAATTTCATGGAAAAATACAACGCGTTCAAGACTCAAAAGACATTTTCCTGCCCAGCTTCACCCTACCCGTTAGGATATATCACTGCCCTTTATCACCGTGAGACTGGAATGTCTCAGTCTGTAGCTATATCCACGAATATCATGGTTGGTGACTATTTGTTCCTATTTCGTGTACGATTGTACCATATGTTTTTGAAGGTACCGAACTACTGGCGGATCAAAGGGGGATATTTGGCGCAAATTCCCCCCCCCCCTCCTGCAGCGTCCAAAATCGAAGAAAATTTTCGTTTTTTTTCAAGGATAAAACGAAAACTAAACAACTTTTATTATAAAAAAGCATCTTTTAAACCACACAGCAGTGCGAAAGGAATCGAAATCCGATGAGTTTTTAGAATTTGGAGAAACCTTTTCGGAGATATGCCCTCCCGCAGCGTCCAAGACCGCCTATCTGGATCCGCCAATGGGATTTGGAGGAATCTGGAGGATTTTTGTAACTGATCTGGAGGATTACAGCCTTCTCCATCTGGCAGCACTGGCTCGGGATTAGTTCAGTTCAAGTTAGCAACAGGGGTCGTTTTGTAAAAGTAGGTGCAAGTCCGATGAATTGCTGAATTAAAATCCCGATCAAATTAAGGTAGGGTAAGGTCAAGGTAAGGTAGGGTAAGAACTAAGGAGTGCATAACTGCATACTCACCAGTAGCCCCTGTCAGATGGTCCCCATGCAGACGCTCATGATCCTCACCCAGAAAAGGTTGAAAACGCTTCAATTAATCAGATTTCTTACGTGAGTCTTGAAATGAAATGCATAGGGCTTATAACAGCCACCAATTGTAGCTAAGTAGGTACTGGTGATTCACATAAGCCGTGTGGCCGAAAATAAATGAAATCTACAGGAAACGCTTTCGTGTTACATGCAATTGCCAAGTACCATATTAAACAGCCAAATCTGAAGTTTTGATCTATGTATAGCATCAGTCACATACACTTTTCCTTTGACTCTCACACCCCTTTTAGACAAGAAGCTCAAAACGACCACCTCGGCGATGGATGCACTCCAGCACCAGAGCATAAAGTTGCCAATGGCGTGGATGCACCACATTTCTAAGGGAATGGAACCAAAGAAGCTTGCAATGGCGTCCTTCAGCCGCAGAATATCCGGTAAATGTCAAGTTTAAGTCCTAAGAAGATTTCATCGATAAATTTTTCATATTTTTACATTATTTGACATCCTGAATCCAAAAATGATACTCATATGTCTCGCAAATAAAAGAAAAAAACATAATCAAACCTGACCTAACCTTACCTACTCACCTATAACCTACCAACCTACAACCTACAAACCTACCCTAACCTAACCTAACCTACAAACCTACCTACCTACAACCTAAAACCTACAAACCTACAAACCTACAAACCTACAACCTAACCTAACCTAAAACCTAAAATTTTTGCTGTTTCATATTCGTATCAAAAGCGCCACAATTGTAGTTAGGACCTAAACTTGACATATACCGAATATCCTGGGGACTCTCCTCATGGACCTCGGACTTTGCATAGCCCCACAGGAAGAATGCAGTACGGCGTTGAGCTCCGGCGGGTGTAGCGCCCACCGGACCTCAGCGCTCTTTGAAATCAACTTTCCCGGGTTCGCTTACCATTTTTTTCTGCCGTGTTTATCATTGAACCGTGCCCTCTGTTTTGGCTCTCAAGCTAATCAGCTCAAGCTAACGGAACTGCTATTCCAGTTCAAGAACCCATGTTAAAAGTGAACTATATCCTTTAATTATCCCTAGTGCCTACTGGACTGCATGATATTCTGCAGTCCATGTTTACACCGGGTGCTATGTCATAAGTGGTAGGTCTTCAAAGGTCATGAAAGGTCCTTTTTGGCAGGTCACCAGCGGGCACCTGCCAAGCGAGTCACCAGGAAACAGTCAGTTCACAATGGAGGACCTGGGCCAGACACAAGCTCTGGTTCGCAAGAGGCGGGACTTTTTTGATGCAGCCGAAGCGTGTTCGGGCAAATACGGCGATGACAAGACCGAGTGTCTGTGTGAGCACGGCGAGGACTTCTGGTGCGACCACTGGGAGAGCAGCGCTGATTTCAGCGAACTCGCGATGGTCGTCTCGGCCGTCATTGTCTTTTTGCTGTTTCTCTCCTGCCTGATCTGCATCTGCCGCCGCCGGCGGCGCGGCTTTGTCTTCCGCTCGCCGTCCGGCAGGTCAGTGGCTACTCACGACCGACGACCGCGCACTCCAGTAGCAATGCTGGTCTTAAACTGCTGATGCTATGTTATCAGTTAGTGTAATTATCACTCAGTATACATTCTGTCCCTATCTGTCTGATCTGTTACAATCTGTCAGTATATTCTGTCCCTCAGTATGAAATTGTCCCAAAATGCGTGTATCTACTCTAGAAATAACTGGTTTGTGATCATTTTCAGGACGGTTACTACGACCACAGCTGTGGTTCAGCCGCCCCTCCAGTCGCACGGACCAGCCGCCTCGCACGTGCCAGGCACTTCCTTCTCCAGCCCGTCGCAGATGTGGCTCCCGCCGGGGGAGGGCGGCTTCCCCCAGCCGCCAGCGGGCTACTCGCAACCGTCTACGGGATACCAGCAGCCTCAAGGCGGATACCCACAGCAACAGGGCAGCTACCCGCCCCAGGGCGGTTACCCACAGCAGCAGGGAGCCTACCCACAGCAGCAGGGAGGCTACCCACCCCAGGGCGGTCACTCACCCCAGGTCGGTTTCGCTCACGCGCCGCCCCCCTCAGGCGGAGCTGACCTGCCTCCACCGTACGACGCTGTCACCGGCCGCCAGCCGCCCTTCAACCCCAACTTCCAGGAAGGCGGCGACACGAAGCGGCCGATGTAGACGGCTGACCGTCGCTCTGTTGGCAGGGTCTGCCCCTCCCACCCCCAAATACTACCTACTCAGTCGGACCGGGGCGGGGACGGTGGCCGGCGATACTGTCGTATCTGTGAGCAGAGGACTCGTGCAGCCTGCTGTGGCTGGTTATTGTGTGCGATCTGCCAGAGCTATGCTTGTGCGGTGCACAGCTCGCAGCGGTCTGAAAATCGGACTCCTCTTCTCTGGGAGTAAATTGTGTCTGTAGAATGTATTGCGCTTTCAAAAGAATCCTCAATATCTTCGTGTGCTGAGCAAGCAACGTTACCAAGCCTACTCACGAAGTGTCTGGCGAACCCGTCAGATGCGCGCTTCCACTGCAGTTATAGGTTTATTGTACTGCGTTCCTGTTGAAGGACTCCATATACGTGCTGGTGAGACACCGAGTCCCTGCTTGGTGCTTATTGGGGTGTACGTCATCTTTGGATCGGTTTTATGGATGAACATGTGCATGTGAGGATCGAAGGAGGTCGCCATTTTCAATTTATAAGCGTCACGCTTTCTTTTCATCGCGTATCGGAAGTGTTACGCTTTCATGCTGTCATAAGATTGAAGGACACGTTGAACCATTTTAGATTGAACCGAAACAAGGAGCCTATGCTTGTTACGTAGCACCAGCCTGGGGTTCATGAAGGGATAGTACTTTTTAGTAGGTATTTTTTTCCTATTTCGGAGTCACTAAAACTAAAAGAAGCAGTAGAATCACTTCTGAAAAGTACGATCCCTACATTTTAGATTGGACGTGCTGTGTGGTTGATAAAAGTCACATTCGTCGCTAGTCGGGCTGTGGCCGACTTCCATAGGTACCCTGGAAGGGCGAAGGTTGTGGAACGGGCTGCTCGTGTTAGGTTATGTAGGGTTGCACAGGTCCAACGCCTCTTGAGCTGCCGGTACATCCAAGGGAGGCAGAAAAGCCGGGACTCGGTTTGGCTTATGTGGTGTCAGCTAATACGCTGTTGAATCTCGTGGCAAATGTTTAAACATGAATAAATAGACGGAGTTTTTGAAACAGCGTGTGTGTGTGTGTGTGTCGCCTGAGACCTATGGGGAGTCATCTGGATGAGGGAGGGGGGTCCAAACACTCGCCACGTATCCTCGTGTAGGGGGGGGGGATACATGACCTAACGGCAAAATCAACAGGCTAAGGCCCTCTATAGACGGATGGCCAACGTTTGATTATCTGAAGTCGGGAAAGAATTCTACTGCGCCCGACCGGCATAACTGGGGAAGGTACGGTAAAACAATGACTTGGATAGAGTGATTGATCTGTTCTTGAAGTTCCTTCAGTGTCTTCACAATCGGTAGTACGGTGTTCATTTTCCTGGCGCCTAACTTCGATACGAACCGGACCCCATTGCAGTTCCTTGCGCGGCATACTGTCGACAGTCCCCTGGCCTTGGTGTGTTATCGTGAAACATACCTTTAACACCGAACATAATCTTGTCGGACGCATCTTGTCCAGACTATGCCTAGGACGTGTGTTATTGTGTCGTGTTAAGGCGTTAATGGCAAGGTGGCATTGGGTGACAAGATAATCCTCGCCACCAAAGTACGGTCGGGCCGGGATCAAATCAATGACCAATCACACCGAGTTCCTGAACCAAAACATCCCACAATATACAAAAGACATCCATGATTACCTCGAAATGTTTATTAGAATGACAACGCTATCATCTGGACATGACTTGGACTCGGAGTTGCGACATGGACAGTTGTCCCCCTGGCTCCCTCCCACCCTCTCCCCACGTACCGCCCGCCGTCCATCGAGCCGCGGACGGCCGCTCGGTCCGCCCTCTCCCAGGATGAGAAACACATGAGACGTGCGCTGCGGCGCCGATCCGGGCGTTGGCGGCTGCCGCTCACTGGGCCTTGGAGGCCTGCCGTCTGAGCAGAATGTAGATCTTCTCCTTGATCCAGTCCTTGTTGTAGGGCGCATAAGTGTTGCTGCTCTTCTGGTACCTGCAGACCAAGACAAGATGAAACTTAGTTCTGGCAATAAACATACACTGGTACATAGATAACATAAATCTATGATTCATGTTATCTATGACTGGTATAATTTTCCCATAATAAGGGCGTTTGTTACAAGTGCTGGAAATATGAACGTTAAGCACGCTGAAATGCATTTTATTATGCACATAGCTGTCACAAAAACAACCACACATCAAATTTAGAACAGCATTCAGTTCCTGTCTCTGAGTGAGTGCTTAACACTCACACTAGGCAGGAGAGGTCGTTGAGCTGGTCGACAAAGTCGAACAGCTGGCTGATGTCGTACGTGATGCTGGGCGTATTCGGATTCATCCTCTTCAGGTGCTCCTCGTATATTTTGCACACACCTAAAAACAGTGCCTGTTCAGTTATACTGGAGCGGCAGCGACCGTGCCCTGAAGTTACGGTCCTCTGCGGCGATGCGACACGAACCATACATCGGTGAAATGGCATTGCTATCACGACGAGGCATACCTATAACTACATGCAGTGTCCGCCGCCCTTTCCCTCCCGATCAACCCCTGACTGTCTCTCCAACATATGAGGTGGGGTCGGGCGGCAAGCCGAGTGCGAAGGGCTTTGAACCGGCTCTCCTTGTTGATCCTCTGCCTGGCTAGTTTGTGTGCCAGCCGCCACTGGCAGCCAGTACACAGCATTCATTTAGCAGACGACATGTGAACAATTTTATCACGGTATATGGTTCAAGAATCGTGAATGCTCAGTGTAAGCAAACATGGGAATGGAGATTAAAGACATTCATATATCAAACAAGAACATCCTGAGAGAACTGATGGAGAAATACTAGTTTAACACCTTTCCCAGAGATCTAGGGTCAAACATGATATCATGAACCAAGCGATCTGTTTTCTAATTCGTCTCTGCAAACAATGTCATCAACTTAAAATATTGTTGCCTCTTGCTACTTTAGATCGAAAACAATTAATAGGTAACTCATAATTAGAGTGTAATATCTAATATTTTTGTGTAAAAAAATGTTGGATGCTTATGGTTCAAATGAAATGCTCATAGCAGGCTTAACTTAAAAAATGTAGGTAAAACGACCTGCCATCAGCTATAAGGACTCAGCCTGGAGGTGTTTTTTTTTTTCAATAGAAAGTACATCTATTTTGAATGATTTTTTTCCTCAAAATGTTGCCTCATGATTTTCCAATGCCCTAGCACTGAATAGGTAACTTTTGATAAGCTTATTCACTAGGTGCTGGTGAAAACATTTTCCATTGCATCAGTTGTAGACTATCCCCCATGCAGGCTCACCTTCCATGCACTCATTGACACTCTCGTAGTCTGAGTAACTGCGTGACTCGGCCTTGGCACTCGGTTGAACCAACAGAATGGTGTGAGACTGAAACATAAGAGCAGGTTTTATGCACCCACATGTCCTTTAAGTCTTACAAGCATAAGCCTACCTTCAGACATGCCCTTTTTTAGTGGAATTCAAACACTGAGGAACTCCTCACAAAACAGCCATTTTGGAAGGCCTGTTTCACAGGATCCTACAAGATAACTCACATTTTACAATACTGTTTTCATGAGGAATTCCTCAGTGGCCTGAAAATTCCATGCAAAATATTGCACAACTGAATACACTTTAAATCTTAATCGGACAAAAAGCATGAATTGCACTATCTAATGTCTCTCCTGGTGAAGGTGAAAAGATCAGTGATGCAAAGGTTTTGGCTAATTATAATGTTACACAAGGGTCTTTGACATCAACTGATCATCTTGAGAAATGTGTGGTGTGATGATGATTGATGATCAGTCACTTGTGAGTTGTGTATATTCTGCATGCTGTGGGAAAGGTTTCACAGCAATTTTTATATCAGCATTTATGAACAAAATGTATGGGGTATGTACCTATGGATGAACAGCAACGACCTAAATTTCTTACCATTATGGAGAGCTGCGAACAAACACTGCTTCTTACACCTCAAACGTTAGATCAATGGTCAAGGAGTAGACCTTGTTGTGCAGACAGTAGAAATAATACTTTCTGCGGGAGCAATTCAAATATAAGATTTCAACGACACCCAGCTAATATATCTTCTCAGCAGCAAGGCCATCTATAGAAGGTACAGTCACTCCCCCGCCGACCAATCAGAGACAGATCCTGAGTGACGTCACCCCTGATGCTCGCAAGGGGTACTCCATTCCTTTGCAACGTAAAAATGACTAACTTCATTTGAAGATTATTGATGGCACTCTACACATACCGCTCAGCCGTTGATGTCAATGGAAAGCTCAACTAATTTTCCAGCGACAAAAAAGAGCAGCAATATGCTAAGAAATGGCCGGTTTTGAAGATATAGACGATTTAAAAACCCTCTGCAGCAGCAGGAAAGCAACGTAAAAACGCATCGAGCTTATATTTTTACTATGGATAATTCATTTTTAAGTAAGTTTTTAGTTATGCTATAGATTTAAGTTACAACTTTATTACAATATTTTCATTACTTGGAACTTTATTTCAAAATAATATTTTCAAAAATGGCAGTTGTTGGCCAGTAGCTTGGGAGCGATTGTGGCGCACCGCGCCATTAATTGTCCTGAGACCCCCTTATGATGTCATCAAAAGTGGAGTGACATGGGCCTGCTCAGCAGGCAGCGTAACCCCGTTGTTCAATGGCGTTCACCGTCCGGCGTGTCCGGTGCTTTTTTTTTTTTTTTTTTTTTTTTTTTTTTTTTACTCGGTTGGCCTAGTGCCATACCCGAGCAGGGGGCAGTTACTCCGGCAATTTTCGCCGGGCAGCAAGTCTTACGTTAAACCGGTTTATGTGAACCCGGTAGCAAAAACAACGTGGGATCCTATCTTAATGTGGAATCAAAGCTAAGGGAGGTACTTACGTGTATAGCCAAAGAGCCGAGATGTCTGGAGTCGCAAACACAACAATGGGAATGACTTTTATTAACAATACATAATAGACATGAACACTTGTGAGCTGGTGATTCAAGTTCAACACTGCGGTTCATTTGCGAGATTCACGGTATGCGCCATGTTTGTCTACGTTATTTGCTACCATATGAGGAATGGAGGAAAATCTTTATTTGGTTATCCTGCATTTCATCTGCCTCGAAATCAGGGCATATTTTAACAAATTTCTACTGCGTCCCAAGGTTGAGCAGAGGGCACGCGCCACGACTAAGCAGGGCACAGGGCAAGGAACAGAGTAGGGCACTGAGGAGGGCAGAAAGTAGGGCACGGCAGGTTACAGGGCATGGCACAGGGCATTTTAGAGGGAAGGGTACAGTACAGGTAAGTGCACACAGCAGGGCACATGTCAGGGAACCGGACAGGGCACAGAGCAGGGACGCAGTGGGTCAAATCAGCAGGGGCTACGTCCCACCGCGAGGGGGCTGCGTCGCAGAATGGGACGCAGTAAGTGCCTTAAAATATGCCCTGCTCGAAATTCAAAAGAAGTTAATAGTTTTTCGAAAGTTGGTTTGATTGCGTATTTTTTTTTCAAATGAATCACCCCAAAAATATCATTTTCAAAGAACCCTTTGTGGCTTTATTTCCAATCGAGTAGGTGATATGGTAGCATTTTTCCTCTCTGCTCTCGACCTTGAAAACAGCTGATTCTAACCGGTGATTCATGTTGTGGACCAAGTTGTGAACCGTCGTGTTGAACCGTTGTTTTATTGTGTGAATAAAGTGGGTACTGGGTCGACCCCCCCCCCCCTGGGTAGACATGCCCTGCCAAATATTTTATGGCTAATTTTAATTTATCTCATTCGTTTCAATCTCATTTATTCTTGTCTGGAAATTGGAATCGATTACCGGGGGCGTTCGTGACACGTTGAGCAGCCCAGTATCGATGTGGAGATTTTCGATCTCCCGTTCTGATGATCAGGGTTGGTTTTAGATTCTAAAATATGGATGTATTCTAGCAGGAACCTCAATAACTGGGGTGAAGGGAAGGATGTACCTATGGGCCGGGGGCTGTAAATTTGTCACATGGACATGCCATTCTTGTGTGTGGAATGAACAGGATCCGGGTGCCGACTGGATTGTCAAAGTTCAGTTCGATTTTAGCTGAAGCTGCTAAAATCAAATTGTTGGGACTGTATGTATAACAGTATAATGGTCAGAACTCAGAATCTGACTTTGATAGGTGTTAGCATCCATAGCTCTACTAAGTTACTAACTTCTGAATTAAAGGGGTATAAAGTCCTAGGACCTAGAACATACCTTGTAGTTCTCATGAAATATAATTTTGACTCTCTGAGGCCATTTCACACAATTTTCATTTTTCAGCCTGATGTTCACATGGCAAAATGAGTAAAATTGCACCAAGCTGCTATAGTCCAAATGAAGAAGACCTTTGGATTGAGCTGTCACAGTACCTTGATCTACCACCCGCTCTTCAGGTACAGCTTGACAGTTTTATTTATGGCTAGGCCTCCTTCTGAAGTGAAATGTTGGCTGGCTTACATCTCAGAGCATTTATTCTGGGAAATGTCACCATGCTGGTTGCTGATATTGTAGCATGTGTTATGTGTGTTAATTCCAAGTGCTGCTGGTCACCTCCAGTTCTTCTCTTCATGTCAGATATTTTTGTTGCTAGGGGCATGATTGACCAATGACCATTGCATTTGGCCAGCCCTAATGCCCAACAAAGAAACAAAGAAACATAATTTGTTTACTTTGTGGGCATGGCTGACATTCCTAGATGCTACTCTGCATGGCTCACACTCCTTGGTGGGTATATTTCGGCAGGAATCTTCTGACAGCCCTCTCAGCAAGCATGGCCGGCAGCATACGGCTGCTCTCGCTGTGCTCCGCAGAGCACTCGAGGATGGCCCACCTGCTGCGGCTGCTGCTGCCAGTGCTGCATGTGATTCGGCCACGCTGCGGAGTCTGCTGACCGCCGCCCTGCGGCGGGCTGCTCCTGTGCGTGCTGCCCTCCTCCTGCCTCTGTGGCCGGTCGGGGACAGTGACGGGCCGGAGACGGCGGCGCTGCGCCGGCCGCCGCCCGGCGCTGCCGGTCTGTGCGCGGCGGCAGTGTCCGCGTCGGCCTGTGACCGGCTGGCCGAGTGGGGGCGGGCGGCACTGACCGCCGGCCGCTGCCGGCCCTCTCTGGAGACGGCGCTCCTCTGCGGCCAACCGGCGGACGGCGACACCCTCCTCCGACTCCTGGTCAGTGTCATACGGGCAAATGGGCATCGTAGCTGGTCAGTATGAGAAAGTGGGCTTCGACAGGCGACATCTCGAGCATCATTTCTCGAGCATCATGTTACTCTCCATACCTACTGTTACTGTTCCTTGACGCGTCGCATCGTTTCTCGACGAATCATAATGCGACGAGTCGTGATAAAATATCCGTCGCTTTCAAGACACCCTGTATAATGTACGCCTACTAGTTTATGCGTATCGACATGACAAACACAACGGCATTACAGTTATAGCTTTTCAAGCATTTTGTCAAAATTATTCACCAAAAAAAAAAGCCTGGGATTTGGGCCATTGACACAGTTATTGGTTGGCTGACCGCCAGTTCAAACGGACCCCTACGGTTTTTCGCAAATAACTCGCGCAAAAAGCGGCCGATCACGACCAAACTTTCAGTAGCCTCGATTTGATCAATTTTACACTTACCATGAAAATTGCATGACCCAGACCCAAATGACCTTTGACCTGTGACCTGTTTCTCGAGATAATGTTTGGCCGGAATCGCGATTCGGCTTATGTCGGATCACATTATCCGCGCGTTTACAGTCTTGTTGCTCATGCATTATGGTGGCTGTCAATGTCACTTGAAGGTCAGGTCAAGGTCATTGACCTTTGATGACCTTGGCTCACTTTTTCGAGTTTTACATGTTTTAGGTTAGTTTTTGGAGCCGATTTCGAATTAACAACCATTTGAACGTGTCAGAAGAAGTGGACCTGACCTGACCCGACCTGGCCTAAATGCATGAACGCGTCACCTTTGGTAAAACTAACATGAAATTCGGGATCAGCACCCCGAAAACCCCTTGCCAACTTCACTTTACGAAGTTCTAACAGGTCCCGATTTTCCCGACTTTTGGGTCATTGACCTTACCTGGAAGGTCAACCAATGACCTAGGACCTGAACCCTCGCCCGTATTGGGGGGGGGGGGGGTCGAATGGATCCCTCCTCGGTTTTTCGGTAATACCTCTCGTAAAAAGCGGTCGATCGCGACGAAACTTTCAGTATCCTCGCGTTTATCAATTTTAACACGTACCCAGAAAATTTCATGACCCTGACCCAACTGACCTTTGACCTGTGACCTGCTTTTCGAGATCATGTTTGGCCGGAATCGCGATTCGGTGTATGTCGGCTCGCATTAGCCGCGCGTTTGCAGTCTTTTCGTGGTTTTAGGCGTTCAAACATGTGATTTGATGTTGCTCCCATGCATTAGGATAGGATGGGTGTCAAGCTCACCTGAAGGTCAGGTCAGGTCATTGACCTTTGATGACCTCGATTCACGTTTTTTAGTTTTACATGTACTAGGTCAGTTTTGGAGCTGAATTCGAATTTAGCAACCAGTTGAACATTTACGAAGTAGTTTTGGTGCCTCCGTAACATGTTACGAAGCTGTCAGAGGCGGTTGACACGTACCTACTACGAATGCCTAACCGTCACGACCCCTACTGGTTGACCTGACCTGGCCTGACCCGACCTGGCCTAAATGCATGAAGACATCATCGGTGATCAAAACTAACATGATATTCGTGATCAGTACCCCGAAAAACATCAAAACCTCATAGCAGCCACACTTTAGGACGTTCTAACAGGTCCCGATTTTCCCGACTTTTGGGTCATAGACCTGACCTGGAAGGTCAACCAATAACCTAGGACCTTAAACTTGGGTAGCATCGGCTTCCTCTCGTCACGGGCAGCACGCTCGTTTTTTTTCCGCGAAGCTCTAGCTCGATCAGGGGCGAAACGGCAAAGGGAGGGGTCCAATTCGGACCCCCCCCCCCTCATACGTTCGCGGCTGGAAATATACCAATAAGGACGAAGGTTAAAATTGGGTATCATCGGCTTCCTCTCATAAAGAGCATCACGCTCGTATTTTTCGCGAAGCTCTAGCTCGATCAGGGGCCGAATGGCAAGGGGATTGGTCCCTCCAAAGTACCCTTCCATACGTTCGCGGTTGGCAAAACACCAATATGGGCGCCGGACCTATTGGTTTTCTACATACGCGCCGGCCGGGGGGGGGGGGCGGGTACAACTCCCCCTCGCCGTTTCGCCCCTGGTGGAGCTAGCACGTCGCGGAAAAAACGAGAGTGTGCGCCGTTACGAGACGCAGAGATTCATACCCAATTTTAAGGTCCTAGGTCAATCGGTGACCTCTAAGGTCAGGTCAAGTGCTCCAAGGTACGGTTCAGTTTTTGGTGAATAACTTCACACAAAAACGGCCGCAGAGCCGCGATATTGGCACCACCGTGTTCGCTTCGCTCAGGCGCGTCGAATCATATACTTTTTGTTTGGGTGAGGTCAACTTAGGGTGTTGACCTCAGGTCACGGTCAGGTCAGCGCCCCCAGGTCACGAAGTTGGTCGAAGGTCATGTCGCATATCATTCGATTCGGCAGGTCTTCCTGAGTCCTTTGGCTGCTTTCCCGACTCGCTACTCGCTAGCTCAATTTGATCGTGAGTTATTGAAGAAAAACTAATGTGACCTTGATGCATTGCAAAAGTGACGCATCAAACCTTGCAAGGAGTGCATAAAATCATGATTCTGTGTGCTTGAGCTAGTTGAAGATCGTTCCCGGCCCCAGAATAGCAGTTTTCATTTTTCGCATTGACTTATAATGGTGAGGTCACGAAAATGACCCAACATCATATGACCCTTAGGGAAAATCTGAGATGTACAAGTTATGAAACTAATAATGGATACTAGATCCTGCAAGTTTCATTTCCCTGTCAAAGCTCCTCTGGCAGTGAGGGCGTTGCGAAGTTGCGACATCTGAAGACCGTGCAGAGGTTCACTTATGACGTCATAGGTCAGTGACCTGACCTGACCCGAAAATGCGGTTGGTGTCAAAAGATCCGGCTTGAATCAAAGGTCAGGTATGCCAAGTTTCAGCTCTCTATTGCCAGCGTGTTCGGAGCTATCGCGGAAAAACCCCTTGGGGGGGGGGCACCCGCCCCCCCCCCCTCGGCCGGCGAGGGTTAAAAATCAATGCTACCTTATCGTCATGAAAAGGCGAACAGGCTCATATTCTTTTCGCTATCGGATCTGCCATAGGGTAAAACTCTTATGCTATGGCTGCTGCTCGGCTTTGACTCTATGTGTACTGGATACTGCACAGTGCACATTATTATGCTGCTGGAGTCGGCACCCAATGTAGTGTATTCTGTTGAGGGTGTTCCCCACAGTTCGGTGTTGTTTAACTGCGCCGTGCCGTTTGTTTACAGGACTGCTGTGTGACGGACCTGTCCCGCTGGTTCGGCGATGGGTTGCCGCTGCGGCCGCTGCTGCCGCTGGCTGCCTCACGCGCCTGGAGCGCCGGCCGGGTCCCGGAGGCCGCCGCCGCCAGCGCCCTCTGCCGAAGGCGACAGGTGCGTATTGCGCTGCCTGCCGCACCCTATAGTGGAACCGAGAACCCTCGCCATGCGTAATTCGGAGCTCAGAATGCCGTGTGCGGTATAATATCGGCCGTATGTGCGCCGATCATTAGCTATTTTCATCGCCTGTTGTCTGTCCGACTATCGACATTAGTAAAGTTCGTTTTTTTTTTTCGAAACCGGTTTATAGCATCAGCGGAGCATATCACATGTCGGAAAGTAAAACAAACTAAAAGTGTCGACGTATAGCCTACTAGTGTATTGCTTGTCATGTGTTTGTCGCAGCAGTTCTGTAGTGACCATGCTACTCGCCCAGTTAGCGACGTTAGCTGACCCTCTGCTCGGGCTGTGTGCCGCCGTCAGGAGTCTGTGAGCGGCGATCCGCTGGTGCGCCGCTGGTGCCAGCTGCTGGCCAGCCGCGGCGCGCTGGTCCAGCTGTGTCTGCAGCGCGCTGTGCTGACCGACGCCCAGCAGTCTGCGCTGGTGCAGGTGGGTCCAGCAGCAGCCCGTCGAATCGGCTGGTTAAACAGCGCAGCTCAGCAGCTGACCACATGCTTCCCTTTCAATAGTTTGATATAGTATCTGCCCCTGTCCTTCCTCCCCGTCCCCCCCCGCCCCAGGTCAGCACTTGGCAGGTATTTTAAGACGACGCATATTGAGGGTAAGTGCATACTGGGCTCGGTAAGTGCATACTGGGTATTTATGCCTGCCAGTTTTGGCGCGACAAGTTCCAATTCAATTTTAGTGCGTGCTTTTTTTCGGCAGCTTTGAGTGGTAGTGTTTTCCTGATTTCTGGATTACGAATTGAATTGACCAAACAAAAGCACTACATAACTACATTACATGACGCACAACCGAAAAGCGAGTTTCACCGGAAGAAATGACATTGAGAAATAACGTCCAATTAGTACAATAATACGTAATATTTGGGAGAATTGGGTGGAACATTGGCACGAAATCATCAAGACTCGAGTAGTTTGTCCTCTTCGTAAGTGGTGTGAGATCGAACGCCGTCTTTTCCAACGTTGGAACCGTCAGCCAGCCTCTGAGTGCACAATCACCCGAGAGGCGGGAGCCATAATAGGGCATTACGTCGGTGAATCACAGCGAGTGGGAAGGACGGCGCGCCCGCCGCCGGGCGACCGTCGGTGGCGAGTGAGTGACGTCAACCAGGGTGACGTCACTGGCCGGGAAAGGGCCGAGCGCCGCCGCTTGGCCCGGTGCCAACAGCGCACGCTCCAGTCGGGCGGTAAGGTGGGCTGTCGTCTGTTGGTGCAGCACGGACGCGGGGATGTGTGCTGTGTGAATCGTGTGCGGTCGGACGGATTCTGTGGCGTGGCCGTGCTGCGTGCTGTCACTGCCGGTGTTTTGCGGCGATATCCGTCCCGTGTCGGGGTCAGTTCCGGATGCAGCGGCTCGAACGGGTTCAGTGGTGAGACCGCTCCACGCACCGTGTCTGTTTTGGCGGTGACTCTCTCCCGTGGCGCGGTCGACTCCGGCTGCAGCGACTCGGCCCGCGGTGCGATGGCGCACCGTTGCTGCGGCTGGCTGGACCTGCGGCGCGGCGCCGTCGCTATCGGCGTGTTCTACGTGTGCTACCTGCTGCTGGTGGCGTTGACGCTGGCCGTGCTGGCTGGCGTGCTGGCCGCCGAGGCGCCGCTGGCCGGCCGGCTGGGACTGGCGGCCGGCGGCGCGCTGCTGCTGGCGCTGCTGGCCGGCGGTCTGCTGCTGGGCGCCGCGCGCCGCCGCCGGCCGCTGCTGCTGCTCTGGCTGCTGACGTACGGCGCCGTCCTGCTGACGCTGACGGTCGGCGTGTTCGGGCTGGCTATAGCCGCCGAGACCGGCCATCGGACATTCCTGACCGAGTTCTGTGAGTCGCGGCCGGCCGGCCGGTGCTCGTTCCGCCTGTTCCACTACCTTCTACTGCTGTTCGCCATTGAGTGGTACTGGTGGGCGGTGGTGCTGCTGCGCTACAGACAGCTTGGCCGAGAAGAATGCGCCCAACACTCAGAGACACCGCTGGGGGTGCCGGTGCGCGGGGCACACAGCGGCCAGCGGTACCACGTACCCGTCACATACTGCGGGGACGGCGGACTGCTGAAACCGCCGGCGGACAGCGGCGACCACCGGCCGGCCGCCGTCAGTACTGGGCCTTCAACGGCAGCCGACCTCGGCAGGCCGCCGGTGGTGGTGCACGGGTGGTAGATGCGAGATAATGCCACCATTTCCTACCGTAGAAACCCGGCCATCGGCTGTCGAGAGTGCTCGGGCGACGTGCTGGGACTTTGGTATCGAATGCTCCGAGTGTAAAGTGTCCTGGAATTGTCTGCGCCCCGCGGAGACTGCGCAGGGGCTACGGAGCCTGTGATGTGGTCCGTACTAGAGGTGATAGAGTCTGTGCTGGCAGCTTAAAAGCAATGCTGACAGCTAGTGATGACCAAGTGAAATGTATGGCGGTGCTGATGGAAGCGGCTAGTGTCTGCGCGGCTGGCCTACTTGGCAACTGACCTATCGGATGTAATTTATAATTAACGTTCACTCTAACATAAGTGGTTTGTGCGATTATAGGCAGCCGACCTCAGTCGAATGAAGCTTGTCTTAACGTGGAATGTCAAGTTGTACTTTCTACTGAGCGGTGTTGCGCTTCCAATTAGTTGATTGTCAGTTGTGTTCTTGTTTTGTTCCGTCCGGTCGGTCGCAGCCCTGGGCTTGAGCCCACCCGTGGCGTTGCCCAAGTATCTGGACGAGCCGGCTCGAGCTCTCAATTGACACCGTTTATTTCTTTTATGCTTGACTTGCACTGAATCTCATTAATCGCGGCATGGGGAAACTGAGCTATATTTTTCTATTTTACTAGTAACAAAGGTCATACGCCTTTTGCTGTCGACTGCATGACCCACTGTAGTGTTAGCTGTGATCTTGTGATTTTGTGCTTTAACTTTGTAACGCTTTCCACTACAAATATCGTGGCTTCCATTGCTGACTTCAATTGATTTGCCTTGTTTATTTACCTTCATTGGACTGTGATAATCGTGCTCATATGGCTCATGCGATTTCCGTTGTAACTAGTAGGTAACCATGGCACAATAATGTATTCCGAAAATAAAATGATATTTCGACTGTTTGCTTGTGTCCGCCACAACCAAAAAGCCCGGATCGGGACTCGGAAATCAAATTTGTAAATAAATAAAACGTTTCGAGGCAATGGAATATTTTTTTTTTACATCGAGTAGCACTTTTATCACTTTGATTTATCTTCAGCTTGATGAACACTCCTACATTTGGATTCCATTTGGAATCCAACAATTTTTATGGGAGTAAAATTTAGTCTGAATTCAAAAAGCTTGTGTCGTGTAGGTCACCTTAGGCCCGTGGCACAGAAGTTCCTTAGCAATGATACCGTGGTAACCACTAGGACGTGGCCTTTTGACGGGGCCACCAGACCTCGCCCTCGCCCGGCTTACGAATCTTAGAACTAGTCACCGGTTGATGACTTCACGATCCCGTTTGTGTCTCTCCCTAGTCGTGGGCTGTCAGTCTCTCTGTGGATAGCTCCCATATATTTATTTAGCTCCGCGGCTCGATCAGCATGCTCCTCCTCTGCTACCAAGTTTTTTTGGCGTGTACTTGCACTGGGTGACAAGGGGAGGTCACTGCTTACATGGTTCATGAATGAATTCTGATCTGTGACAAATTGTTCTCTCGTGGACTTGCAGGCTGGGGTACCTACTGTGGGATATTTAACAAACCGCTGCTCATGGGTTGGATTATGACAAGCCCGTGCCCGCGATTTGGGTCATGTTACAGGCTATTTTCCCGCGATTTGGGTTAGTTGACAATTCGCTTCCCGCCAGTCAGGATTTATCGTCTCTCGCTCCGCGGTCGACAGGTCGGCGGTGGTGACTCGGCCCTGCTGCTGCTCTTTGTGAGCTGTCCCGGCCCTGGGCTACATTACTGAATAATGGCCGTCTGTGCGGGCTGGGTTATTTGACAGACCGTCCTCGTACTCGGCAGGTCAGCGGCGGTGGCTCGGCGCTGCTGCTACTCTCTGTCGGCTGCCCCGGCCCCGGGCTACATTACTAACCGTCCTCCCGGGCTGGGTTATATGTCGCCAGGTCAGCGGCGGTGGCTCGGCGCTGCTGCTGCTCTCCGTCGGCTGCCCCGGCCCCGGGTGAGGTCACTGACCATGTCTCATGGGCTGGGTTATACGTCGGCAGGTCAGCGGTGGTGGCTCGGCGCTGCTGCTACTCTCTGTCGGCTGTCCCGGCCCCGGGTTCCCGCCGCCAGACGCCGACCGACTCATCACACAACACTGTCTTCACACAGGTGAGATAAAACATTGTCTTGTCTTTACAAAAGTGAGGCATGGAGCTTTGATTGCCCACTGATCCTGTGTTGCAGTAGCTAACTCTGACAGCGTTACAGTATTGAGTGTTGGGTGTGGGTTTCACGGGCTATGTGTTGCGGATTTATATAAGCCTGTTTGCCACAGTATCTGACGCATTTGTCGATGTGTTACAGACCCCGCTGCGCTGGAGTCTGACCGGCAGCTGCTGCTGGCATTCCGCTCGCTGTCTGACCTGCTCACTGGCCTGGCGGCGCTGGCAGAGGCAGAAAACACGTCCCGCCGATGCCAAAGTGAGTGTGACAAACTAGGACATACCAGTTTTAGTGCAGCTCCGGTCTAATGGTGGCGCCTCTGATCTGTCATGTTAGTGACCAGTCTGTAGCATGTGCGCGCTAACGGTCTGTACAATGTAACGTCCTGGATTTGCCGGATGCTGACGTTACTGTACCTCCACCGGCAGATGTCCGTCGTCAGTCCGACCCGGCCCCCGCACAGGTGAGGGAGCACGCCCCAGTCGGGGAGATGCGATCTGCGAGTTCACGGATATTAGTGCTGATTGCTACAGCTTGTCCCATGCTGACCCATTTTGTAGGAATGGATAGGATCGTTTTACGTTTAGGAACATAAAGTATTGGTTCACAAGCTGTTTCACCGCTTTTGTAACGATTTATGCCAACGAAACTAGAACTTGAGCTCGACGAACGATGCGTATTGTGAAGACAATTTGTTAGTTCTGTTCTGTCCATTAGCTTTTAGACACTCAAAACCCCATTATACGGTATATTAGTCCGGCCACAAAACAACGCCATTACCATGTATCGCCCTCAGTCCTACTGTTTTTGTTTCACCTCCACAGCCGTGGTGGGAGCCTCAGAAGCGGGCGGACCGGCAGCCCCCGCCGGATCCGATACAGTTCGACACTCTACTGGCACAGCTCAACACGGCGCTGCAGCAGCTCAAACCGCTCTTCAGGTACACACTTCATGCCAATCTGCACTCCAACGTATTTTGTTTTATCGGGGCGTGTGTGTCTCACGACCATTTATTATGTAATTGTCATTTTTGTGGAAAATTTTAGCACAGTGGATATTGTTGGTATAGTAGCTGCTGGAGACGTTATGCTGCGTGTTGGTTTGTTGGTAGGTAGTACGTCCTGCTGGTGGTGTTTTGTTGAGTATTGTCAGGCCTTATCAGTTTTGAATGTGTAATGCTGGTTGCTGGCAGGCTGCAGCTGCTGGAGGCGCTCTACTGCGTGCTGTTTCTGAGCGCCTCGGACACCGACCGGTCCAGTGCGGACGACCAGCCGAGCCCACCCAGTCCCAGCGGCGGGGGCGGAGCGGCGGGCGCCCTCGGCCTCCCCTGCGGCGGGGCGCGCCCGCTGCTGACGCTCGCAGCCCAGACGGCACTGTCTCAGCTGCTGACGGAGCGGCTGACCGAGCTGACTGACTCTCTGCTGACGGAGGAACGGGACGGAGCGCGGCTGAGGCGGCGGCGGGACCGGTAGGTGGAGCTGAGAGGGTTGGCTGGGTTGGTAACGGACAACAGCTTAGTTTGTACATTTCTTCCATTTCTTCATGAGTGTAGGTCTTGCACGCCTGATTCATCTGGAGGCAACTCATTGTACAACTGGGTAACGTGCTAACTAGCTCTGTTCCTTAGTGTGTGTGTGTATCCGAAGGTTGGGACTTTTCAATTAGATAATCACTGTCCCGACTCTGTCGCCTCTGTCCGGCAGCGCGCTATCTCTGGTGGAGTGCCACCGTCGCCGGCTGACGGCCGTCGAGCCGTTCACGGCCGACTGGCCGCTGTCCGCGCTACTGAGAGCCCCGCCCGACACGCTGCTGGCCATGTGCTGGTCGCGCGGCTGGCTGCGGCACGCCGCGCTGCTGACTCAGGTGAGACATCCTCCATAATTGCTAACTCCGGTTAACACTACCACAGAATGTCGTTTTGTGCTGGAAGTAGTATTAATATAGGGACACGAAGAACACAGACGGCAAAGACACATGGCAACTCGCCTGACCTTGTCACAGACTAGGCTATTACAGATTAATACGTATGCCGGCAACTGTTCGAGCCATTTGCGCCGGTTTGGTTAACGACTCTACATTTACCTGCGGTACTATAAACAAACCTGTCAACGTGAAGCTGAGTACCGTGCAGCATAACAGCATACACTGTCAGATAATCACTCTGCCGACGGCCCCTGCATCCTCCACAGATTCTCTTTTAGTTTACTACGCTAGATTGTACCTTGTCTTTTAGACCACAACCTTCGTCAATCTCGTCCACTGTTCCCTGACCTAGAGTGAAGTCAACGAATCGAACCGCCCTTACTGGTCCAAAGTGACAACACTATCTGCTGGCTGCACCGTTCACTTGAAGTCCATGATGGCGTCGACTAGGTCCTGGAAGGCGTCCGTTTCCTCCGTGCTGGGGACGTACATCTCCATGGTGCCGTCTTTGTAGAGCCGCAGGCCGGGCATGGCGCGGTTGATAAGGTCACAGATCTGCTCCCGTAGCCGGGACGGGTTGCACCAGGCACACGGACAAAACTGGCAGACGTTGCACGCGCCTGGGGAGGGGATGAGAGGGGTGGTCACTTTGTTGTTGGGTCATGTTTTAGGCGTCTTAATGCCTGAATATGTTTCAATGGAAAGATTATTACGCATACCATATGGCATAAAACACACATTCCGAAACGAAACGTGTCATTCAGTCGGGTTGCCGCTTTGCAAATGTACAGATTTCGTCTCTCCATATCGCCTGCAGTTTACCTTTCCTATCTGTACCACCGCGCATAAATAAACATGCACGCATGCATTCGAATGTCAGAAAACTCGATATACTCATCGCACACGGATATCCGAACACAGAAATGCTCCTGGCACCCGCACACCCCATCCCTTATAGTTACCGCAGAGGAGCCAGGCGACGACCATGACGGCCAGCACGGTGAACACGGGCCCGAGCACGGCCTTGAGCAGCAGCTTCAGACCGGCCCAGTCACCCTCCCCGAACGCCAGCAGTACGGCCGCGCAGCCGGCCCGGCCCACCAGCGTGCCGTAGCTGTCAGCCGAAGCGTTGTAGTTGCGGTCGCAGTGAGGTTTCAGCTGCACCCACTGGCTCCAGAGGATAGCTGCCAGACGCCGACCGGCCTCGGTGCGGTTCGGAGCGTACTCGGCGAATCTGTCGAAGGAGGAGGGAATGATGCTGAAGGATGGAAGGAAGGGTGCACCCTTTTCATTGCTGGAAGGATGACTAGGGTCTGAGTCGGATGCTGACATGTCGTCAGTGGCCGTTGGTCACAAACCTGTTTTTGGGCCATTAGCAGTTGATTATAGACCGGAACCAGCGGCTCACCTCTGCAGCATGATGCCGCCGTTTGGGTTCAGCGTGGATCCCGGCGTGGTGCTCTGCTCTGTGGTGGTCGGCGTCTCGGTCCCGTTAGTCGCCGCTGTCTGCTCGGTGGTGGGCGGCTCGTGAAAGTACTCGTACTGCCACTGGTAGTAGTCGTACACGTAGTCTCCGGTGACCTCTGCGCGCTCTGTCATCTCTGTGGAGCCGCGCAGCGCCGCCTCGGTGGTCGGCCGCCTCCAGTGGACGGTCGGGCTGGCCGTGGAGGCCGGTGTGCTGGACGGCGGCTGCTCGGTCGGCAGCAGCTGGCGTCGCAGCTGGTCCAGCCGCGCGGCAGCGTCGGCCGTGGCCTTGCTGAGGTCCACGCCCGCTGAGGTGAGGTTTCTCAGCACGCCCAGGCCGACCCGGCGCAGCAGGGAGCCCCGCCGCCGCCGCGGGCCCGCCCGGCCGGCTAGCGTGTGGTGGCGGCGGCGGCGACGAGTGCCGCCCCGCCGGTGACGGCTGCCGTCCGGAGGGGACAGCCGGTACCCGCCCAGCCAGCGGCGGCGTCTGCCCGAGCTGGCTATCAGCGCCAGTGACCTGCGCACCCTCCGGGACCTCCGGTACGGAGCGGAGGGACCGGGATTGTTGGAGGTCCACCACCGACTGAGGAGGCGCTCCGCTCCGCCGGTGGGTGTCCCGGTGTTGGATGGGTGGCTCCGTCCATCGGTGCCGTGATCCCTAAAACCACCCACAAAGGACTGTTACACTTGGAGGAGATCCATTGTATTCATACATATTTTGTTTTACCAGGACAACGCAGAAGTACGAACACAAGTCGGTAGAAAGCAACATTTATCATCACTGAGGAACTTAAGCACTATGAAATACAATGAAGAATGGACACTAGACGCTAACAAAACAGCGAGCAGCTCACCAAGGCTCTCTAATAACTGGTTTAACGTTTCACGGGGCACGGTGACTAGCTCACATCAGGGACACTCACAGATAGATCGACGAGGAGAGCTCCACAAACAGGTTAAACGCACACTGGCACACGGCGCCCTGCTCACCTAAGGGATGTGTCACTGGCGGGATCACTGGACGGCAGGCTCGGACTGATCCGGGGCTCTTGGTCGATGTTCTGATCACTGGGGTAGGCGAAAGCATCATCACTTTGATCAGACAGCTTCCACTGTTCATTTTGATCAGCAGCCACTGGATTCTCGTGCATTGGAATGGGGTCCAGAGCATTATCTGCACTGGACTGTCGATGGTCATGTTCACGGGAGTCGTCGCTTTGATCGCTAGGGTCCCGATCACCGCTCTCACTTGGATGCTGATCGTTAGTCTCACTCGCCTCTTCATCGCCATGTTCATCTGACCCCGAATCATCGGTATTGCTGCCACCATGTTCCTTGCTCAGTTCGGGAAAGAACAGATCAGCAATGGTCTGATAAACGTGCATCCAGTCGAACGGGCGAACAAAGTTCCCACTAGATTCGCTTCCAGTCCACTGCTCCACAAGACCCCGCAGCAGGCCGTCCCAGCTCCACGGCTGTTCCTCGCCGTCACCGTCGGTGAAGTCGTCAAAGGCCGGCGCGCTGTCGGCGATCCACCGGCCGACGGCGGTCCAGTTGATGCCGATGTTACCGACGATGGCGTCCTCCGCAGCGCCGCCGCCGGGCCGGTGGTCGGTGGTGAACCGGAGCACTGCCTCCCCGACCGGCCCGGCGCCCAGCCAGTCCCGCAGCGGGCCCAGGTCCAGGTGACGACGCACCCGCCGCCGACCGGCCGTCCCCCGCTCCTCCAGGAACTGCTCCATCAGACCCCAGAACACCCCGGCGGCGCGGCGCTCGTCCGCCTGATCAGCGGCCGTGCGGACGGAGCCAGGAGGCGCCGTCACCCGCCGCCACAGCGTCTCGAACGCCTGCCGCGCGGCGCGGCGGACGGACGCCGGCTCAGAGCCACCGACCTCGGTCAGTCGCCGGCGGAGCTCGGTACCGCCGTCCAACAGCGCGCCGAAGAAACGGCTCAGGGTGCGCACGGCGTCTGTGTCGGCGGCGGCCTCAGCAGCCGTTGGAGGTGGTAGTGGGTGGAGAAGCGGACCATCCGGGCTCTGGCCGGGGTCGGGGGACAGATTCGGTCCAGCTGGGTCGGGCTCTTCAGCCGGGTATGAGTCATCGGTGTCTGAAGCTGTAGTTGAGTTGCCGCCTGTTGCAAATGATGAAAAATTCGTCTTGACACTGCTCGAATCTGACGGATGTTCTCTCGCGTTAGGACTTTGAGTGCTGTTCGACACTACCCCGTCGCCGCTGTCTCTAGCCTCAGCAGTACCGTCCCCATCCCGATGGTCTCCGGTGCTGTTATGGGCCGCCGCTGCCGTGTCATTGTCTCCTTCACCCCTCTCTAGTTCCACCGGCGCCACCAGGGAGACCATGAGTTTTACCAGGCCGCGGTAGCCGTGCAGCAGACCGGCCACCGCTCCGCGGAACTGCTCCATCCGCGCGGCGCGGCGCCGCCGCTCGGCCGGCCACTGGCGCCGCCGGATGGCGCGCAGCCGCTGTCCGTAGCGGCGCTGCTCGTCGCTGCTGAACATCTCCGGCGGCCGCAGCCGGTAGCTGCGCCGCTGGCGCGACACGTAGTGGGCCAGCGTGCTGCCCGAGACGGGGTCGTACTGGAGGCGCGCGCCGAGCCGCGGACGCTCCAGCAGGCGCTCCTCCATCTCCAGACTGCCCTTGGTGGCGGCGGGCGGCGGGCCGAGCAGGCAGAGCAGGGGCACCAGCAGCCAGTATATGTGCGAAGACATGGCACAGGAAATGACAACCTATCTTGGATAGGCTGGACGTCACTGTTTTTTTCTCTCCTCGATTATCGTGCCTGCAGGGGTTTCAGGCGATGCGATTATTCCTTATTTACAAATGCTTCGTAACTGCATGAATCATGTAGCACCCAGGCTTTTTATCTACAAATATAGATACACTTAACATTTTTCTGCGATATCGCTCGTGGTCCCATGTCCTATGACAACCTTGCGTCGAAATCGTCAACAACGTGGCAGAAAACAATTACACCTTACCACTCTCTACACTCGTGCCTGTGTTTGGACGGCACCTCTGAGCTCTAACCCAATGATATCGCCTGGTCCCCAGATGTTCCCGGAGAGCTCGACGGCTGGTCGCCTGCGCGCGGAGCTGGCCGTGGCTGAGGGTCTAAAGGAGTGTCGCCGCTCGCTGGACGGCCCGCAGCCGCCCCGCTCAGCACCGGAGGAGGCCCCGTCGGCGGCACCGGCAGAGGACACAGACGGCGACAGGACGGACGGTGCTGATGACAGTACTGCTGATCACGAACCGGAGAGCACTGGCGGCCACCTGAGGAGAGTGAGTTTGACGGTCTTGGAGAACTTACCGGCCGGTGGGTCTCGCGGGACCCTGTGGATTCACGGAGCCGAATGGGTTATAACTAGAGGTGGCAAAAGGTGAAAATTTTGGGAACCAGACTCGAACCAGACCCGACTGGACATTTCTGGAACCAGTCGGACCCAGTCTAAGGTGAAATCGGAACCAGTTGGACCCGTTTCCCCAAAAGTCAATTAATGCAAACTATTTGTAGATAGGGGAGAGTGGGGTAAGATGCCCAGGGTGGGAAAGACGCCCCACCCCCTCTAGCGGCGAAACAAAGAGTCGAACCTGGAAATTAATGTTCTTAGCGTAAAGCGGAAGCCTGCCTTGTTAACTGCACAAAAATTTGCGAAGCTCAGTTTGGCAACGGCTGGCTGGTGATTGCATGTTTTTTAGTTGCTGCTTTCGAAAAATATTTTGGTGTCCAAACATTGTAAATATCAAAGAATGTAAATAATTTTTATGTTCCTTGCTATGGTCGTGATACATTAACATGCGTGTACAGTGTCCCAAACAGTTTGTTTCAGGGTGTAGTTTTATGGCTAACAAATTATACCGATTTAATGTTTATTCTGTACCTTGGGGTAAGATGCCCCCTGTCCTGATGGGGAAAGACGCCCCCCTAAATCCGTAGGCTGTCCTTCAAGCAGCCCGTCAAATCATGTATTACATACTTTTGATGATAGACAAAAGCCGATCTGGGACTATTGAGAGTCCAGTACGGTCGGGTGCTCCCCATGCCGGTCTCTCGGCCCACACAGCGACTTTTTGGGCGGCATCTGACTCTGAGAGCCCTCACGACGGCCTCTGTGGGCCCCATTATTGGCTCCAGGGCCCCTCACGACATCCTTTGAGGGCTCCCACGTTGGCTCCACGGGCCGCGCTGGCATCTGAGGTCCCCACGATGGGCTCGAGGGCCCTCAAGCATCATGAAGACCTATAAGGGCCCCACGGTTGTCTCCGAACGCCACCACGGAGGCTTGTTTGGCCGCGTTGGACTATGATGGACCTAACGATGACCTCTGAAGCCCCTTACGACTACTTTTGAGGGCCCTTACGATGACGTTTGGTGTCTACTGCAGGCTCGAAGGGACTACTGATTCGTTCAGGCGATTCACGTGCCCATTTATGTCACTTATAGTCCAGGGGGCATCTTCCCCAACGCCAGGGGGCGTCTTTCCCACCCTGTGGGGTAAGATGCCCCCTTTCACTTCTTCGGGAAAATGCTTAGCAGCAAAAAAAGTTATCATATTTCAGGCACGAAAGTGTGATATTTTTGGAGAAAAATGATGTCGGCTTCCGTTGAAACTCCAAGTTTTTGCTTTCCGATCGTCATTTTCGAATAATATATGACATAGCAAAACCCTGGGCATCTTTCCCCACTCTCCCCTAATCATTAGTTGCATCATGTAAAACAGCTTTTTTCCCACTGGATATACTTATGAGCTACAGTGTGCAAAAAAAAAAAAACACACACACACACACATGAGCAAATGTTTTATTTTCATTCACTTCATATTTTGTAATCATGTGTAGTGTGCATGGTTTATGGTAGGACCCGGTTGGACCCGTCAGAAAATTTTCAGGAACCGGGTCCACGGGTCCACAATTTGCCACCTCTAGTTATAACGGCTGCTGGTTGTTCCTCGAATGATATTTTGGATTTTTGGGAGTGGCTATGCGGCTAAATTATATGCTGTCTCCTAACACGCGACTGTGCTCCACAGACCATCGGACGTCTGGCGCTGCGTGCCCTGAACTCTGACACCGCCCTGTACCGGGTCATCAGTCTGGTGGAGCGACACAAGGTCACACTGCCTGGCACCGGTGGGCACTATGGTCAGTTGGAGTGTCAGAGTGTCAGAGGAGTCAAGTAACACCGTGTCGGGGGGGGGGGGGGGTCATGTCAGCTGGGTGTCACTGTGTCACGCTGCCCGGCACCGGTGGACACTACGGTCAGTTGGAGTGACACTGTAGACGGTGACTTCGTGTCAGAGAGATGACAGCAAGCGGGACATTGGCTGTCTCAGCAGAGGACACCGTCCGTGTCAGAAAAGGACATTAACCGACAGTGTGTCAGTATAGTGAGAGTGGCACCATGCTACTGAGGTCGAGGCGCGCTATCCTGTCGGCCGCAACTCTTGATGATTTCACTCCGTAATGTTAGCTCTGCATGTGCACGTGAATGTTACCGTCCTAGTTTCATCCATAAAAAGTAATTACATCGAGCGTAATGACTCAGATGCTAAACGACGATATGATTTTTATCAACAGAGGGCCTCAGCGCCGGTTACGCGGCGTTCTTTGACCTGGCGCTGACGTCCGACTGCCGTGAGCTGTTCACGAGGGCAGCCTCGTGTCTGCAGGAGGCGCTCATCATCGAGCCGAACAGGTACGAACCGGCTGTGGAGCCTCTCGCGTAACCACCGGCCGGGCACGTCACCCGTGCGCTGTTTGAGAACTCTGATTTGTGGCGTCATCTTTTATATCAGCTGACCCGACTTCTGACCTGTGACCTCTTGCCTGACCTGTGGTGGCTAGTCTACCTTTAAGCTGCTAACGTTTTGCTGCTTTAGATCGTTTAGCTGTGCCCTCTGACGGCCGACGCCTGACCCTCTCCCCGTTGTCTGGCCGTACAGCGCGGCGGGTCTGAGCGCGCTGACGGCCGCCGTGCGCCACTGGCTCTCGGTGCCGTCCGAGGCGGCGCGTCTGGCGCCGCAGCTGGCCGGCCGGCCGGGCCCGGCGGCCGTGCTGCTCAGTTCGGCTCCCCTGGGCGCGCAGCTGGCCCAGGCCGCCGGCAGACGGTGGCGCCGACTGGTGGAGCTGGCCGGCCGGCCCGCCGACCGAGATACCGTCACCAAACTGGCGGCGCTGGCGCACCGACTGGCGCCGGCCGCAGGTGGGCACGGCACGGGGACAGACTGTGGGCTAGCACAGGACGTGGACACGCTTTGGGGAAGGAACTGATGTTTGATGCAGCCTGGTTGGACACTTGTTTGGATGCCAGCTGCGAATTGAGGCCTAACATGCGGCTCTGGCGCATGCATGCTGCTTTATGTTTGATCGCTTGGAGGGTAAAAATAATGTAATTTTGTTTTTAATTCGCCATTTTTAGATTTTACCGTCAATCTTGATTATATTAATTGTCTTTAAAAATGGCGCTTAAATATGTCGCGTTAGACGTGCTCAACGTGTTTACCCCGGTTTATGGTAGGACCCTTCCTCCGTGCGTCACACCTGTACTGCCACCATCTACAGGCGCGGCGGCCGGCTCACACGAGCACCGGCCGGACTTCCTGATGAGTCTGCTGCACTGCCTCAGCCAGCTACAGACAATGCTGCCCGACCTGGTACCCGCCGCAGGTGAGACACTCTGCTTCGACGCCTCACGTGAGGCTGATTTGTTTTGTTTTTTTTTTGTTTTGTTTTTTTGCTACATCAGACATGTTCGGATGTTTGCTGCATCAGACAGAGTGCCACTACGCAAGTGGCGTATACATTATTAGAGCAATGCTATCCTGAACAGGCAGCGATGCTGCATGTGTCTAACCTTCGCTTGCACCCCCTCACCCCTCATCCTCCCCCCTGAGGCGAATGTCGCTGGCTATGTGACCCATCCCCTCTGACCCCTTCCCTCCCTAGCCCTAGAACGCCTAGGGGGGGGGGGGGGGGTTGTATCAACCCCCCCCCCCCCCTGAGGTTTTTTCGAAGTGCACGCTAAACGGCTTGTCGTAGCGGGCTGAAATTTCCAATACCCTCTGGGGCAACCTTTGCGCATCTTTTGCCGAAAAAAAATTGATCGGGTCATGTCAGGTCACGGAGTTATGACGTCATAAGAGGTACAGCCTCCGGCCGGATTTTCACAAACTGAGTGCCAACGCCCGAGGTTTCCTGCCGGTGGTACGGACATCGGTTGATGGATCGTGATGAAACTTCCCATGCATGTTGGGGCAAGTATTGGCTATCATATGGTATAAGAAATTTGACCGGGTCAGGTCAGGTCACGGAGCTATGACGTCACAAGAGGAACAGCGTCCGGTACTATTTTTGAAAAGCGCCCGAACCACTATTTTGCTAATTCTTGTCACCTCAATGGGAATATGCAGCAATATTAGCTTCTATAGGGAGCAAATGGACCTCCCAAATCCAAAAATACAATCAGATTTCAAAAATTTAAATTTTGATTTTTCGAATTTCTGCCGCCGACTGTGACCTTGCCGACTTCCGGCGCTCCCAACGCGCCATTTTTAGAGCTAGGGAAACGAAATACATACCAAACGATAGAGAATTGATCAAGGAACACGATAGTGAAGGTTTCAAGTCGATATCTCCCACCGTTTTGCCGCAATCGCCGCCGAAAGTTGAAAAAAGTCTATTTTTCCGAAAATTTGACCTTTGACCGGTCAAAAGTAGGTCAAATGTTGACCTAGGACCAAAAAATATACCACCAATCGCGAGATCTCGTTGAAAGCAATCCGTTGGTTTTTTCCGCTAAGCTCTACGACAGTGTGGCTAAATTCATTTTGCGTTAGGGGGAGGATGTAGAAAAGAGCCAGTAGATGATGTCATTATTTTCACAAAACTTGACTATCGTGGCATTTTAGGTGCTGTTTTTACAGTTATAACTAGAAAAAGATGTAGAAATATTAAACACCGATAAAACTTTAAAATCTTTCTGATGTTTGGGAATTGGGATGATAAAGACGAACTGTTAAAGTCTGGTCATATATTTGAGGATTTTGGCTCAGAGCATTGTTGTTTTAAGTCGTAAGGATGTTATTATTTATATTTTAGGATGTCATTTTACTTTTGATTATGGGTGGATTTCCCCGCAACATTACAATTTTGGACATACTGCTCTACGACCTTCCGTTTCGAAACGCCAGGGGGGGGGGGGTCGTAACAACCCCCCCCCCCCCTGGTCGTTCGTGTTATGAGAAATGGCCTGGTCGTGCGAGGGCTAGGACACTGTCTCTTGTCTGTGTGAGCGTAGCCACCCCATCTGACCCATCCCTCCGCCCCCAGGCGACTGTCTGCACCTGCTCACCATACCGCCGTCGCTGGCCGTGGCCGACCTGGGCCTGCGCTGCACCTCGCCTATCGAGCTGACCCGGCTGTCTGCGCGGGCCGGCGCGGTCCGACTGGACCTGGGCAGACTGATGCTGGGACGTCTGTGGCCGCAGCTGGAGACGCCCGGACGGGCACCGCTCTGGGAGGATGATACAATCTGGGTGAGACAGCAAGGAGGTCTGAGAGGGAGAACAGCAGAGTCTGGGCGAGAGGCTGGGAGAGGGCAGAGCTTCCATATGAGGCTGGGAGGACAACAGGGTCTGGATGAGAGACATGTGGAGGGACAGACTAGGACCACAGCTGTGTCCAAAATGATAGTAAGAGCAGCTGGTAATTCTCCGTCTCGCATGCTGAGACACACGTCGGGGCATATCATTAGTGTCAGTCAGCTAATGGAAATGCTACCCGTCAAACTTGGCTAGCATGGTACGGTGTTGTGTCTGACACACCAGTCAATAATGACTGACGGACGTTATTGTACTCCGTTACAGGTGGACCTGTCACCAGCGTCTGCCAGCGGTCCGGGCGGCGGAACCTCTCATGAGACAGCGGCTGACCCGGCTCCAGCTCCGGTCCGCGGCCGGCGCCGTAGTCTGCCCGTGAGCAGTCCGTGTGCGCTGTCCCCATCCACCACGAGAGAAACGGTCAGCCTGCCCACCTCGGCCACCGTCCCCAACCTCTCTACACCGGCAGCCAGCAAGACAGCCGACTCCGACTCACCGCGACTCGTCGACCGACTCAGAGTGGAGCTCCTGCGGCTGGCCGATCGGTTAGCTGCTCCTGCCGCCGCGTCCACCGACCCACCGCCTCAAGAGCCGTCGGTGGCGGCTCTCGGCCACCTGGGCCAGCAGAGCGGTCTGTTGGCGGAGCTGCAGACTGTACTGTCCGGTGGTGGCGGGGGCGGCTGCCGCCTGCTGCGGGCCGCCTCTGCGGACGGCCCGCTGGCGGCACTGACGGCTGAGGGGCCCGCCCGCGCCCGGCTGGCGGTGCTGCTGCGGGCCGTCCGCTGGACCGAGGCCGCTGAGATGGCGCTCAGTCTGCAGTTCCTACCAGAGATGGACGGTGCCACGGACGCGGTGCTGGCTGCGCGGGTCCTCAACAGCGACGGTGGTGAGTTTGCCTTTGCACATGCCGCTGACAGTTATGTGGTAGTCACGGCTCCCGCCAGGCTGTCACCAATTGCAGCGGGTGGATTGATACACTCACGCACTCCAAGAGCACGCACTCCAAGAGTGTAAAAGCGCTGACACTCGGATGGCACCGTGTTTAACATCTTGTTTTGGCCTGGCGCGTCATCTGCAGATGCCGACACGGGTTGGCGGCTGGTGCAGCACATCAGCAGCGAGCGGCGCCGGGCGGCCGTCATCTCCGAGATGGCTGGCCAGTGGCCGCTGCGGCGGTGTCTGGACCTGCTGACCGGACTGGACGGACAGGAGAGCCTGCGGGAGAGGCTGCTGCTCTCAGAGGAGGTAGGCGACTGAAGAGACTGAGGAGCCGATGCTACTCGTTACTGTCGGAGATACGACTATGAAGGAGTTGGCCGGGGAGAAACTTATAAATTAATCTGTCAGGGATATTGAAAGAGAGGTCACAATGGGGGAAGCTCTTGCCTAACTTCCTAACCTCCTAACTTCCTAATGCAAATTCCTAACTTTCTGGGAAGTTAGGAATTTGCATTTGTGAAGCTAAGTTGCCGTAGCGTGCGTTGGTCCCTCTCTGTTTGTGTGGTCGCTGGACGCTGAATCACCCTCCCGCCAGTGGTTCTGTAACCCCTCCTTCCCTCTGCGGTTTATACCCAGCTGCTGCAGCTGTGGCGTCAGTGCCGCGGGCCGCCAGTACCCTGCTGGGCCGAGCTGGAGCGACGCTGCCGCCGCCAGCCGGCGCTGCTGACAGAGCTGCTCGCTGCCGCCGGCGCCGACTGCCGACCGACGCTGTATCACCGCTGGGGCCGACTGCACGGCGCGGATGGTGCAGAGCTGCCGCCGCCGCCCGGCTCGTCTGACCGGCTGGCGGCTCTGCTGCGGGAGCCGGCCGCTGCGCCTGTCACCGCTGTCAAACAGGTGAGAAAGCACCCACGGCCTGGGGAGGTTCGTCACGGCATTGTACAAATGATGTGTGTCGTTGACTCCCATCCATCACGTATAACTATAGCTGTGTAACTCTGTGACTGTGTATGTGTTCTCAGCAGCTGCTAATCTGGTCTCGCTGTGTCTTTAACGGCGTCCCTGTGTCTCTTTCTCCTTTCCCAGCTGCTCCGTGCCGCCGACCCGGCCGATGTGTTCTCTCTGTGACTGTGTTTCTCTTGGTGACTGTATTCCGTCCCCAGCTGCTCCGCACCGCGGACCCGGCCGAAGTCGTCTCGCTGTGCGGCCGGCTGCAGTCGGTGGCAGCCCGCGCCGCGCTGCTCTCCGGACTCTGCGCCGTCCAGGGCGAGCAGCTGCCGCCGTCCCAGTTCGCCCAGCTGTACCGGCACGCGGCCGGGCTGCGCCTGCTCGGTCTGCTGGGCTCCGGCTGGCCGCACTATCAGCATCTGGCCGCCCGGCCCGAGCTGATCGTCATACAGCTCATCTGCAACCAGCACTTTCAGGTGCGTGGCGGGAGGTGATCAATGGTGCCACTGGGTGCCAGTCTCGGGATGATGGTTCATCAGTTCATGGTTGCGAAAATGTCTAGTTTTTTTTTTCGATTTACAGTTATTGTCGGCTGACCACTAATTTGTTGGCTGAAGTAGATTGTCAGTTTGAGTTCTGTAGCACTGAACTAAATGCTGAATCAATGTTTTTATCACCTCGAGTTTTCTTCTCTTTTCAGGCCGTCGCTGCCTTTCCTTCCTCTAAGCTTAACCCTCGCCCGTATTGGTGTTTTTCCAGCCGCGAACGTATAAGGGGGGGGGGGTCCGTTGGACCCCCCTTGCCGTTTCGCCCCTGATCGAGCTAGAGCTTCGCAGAAAAAACGAGCGTGTTGCCCGTGACGAGAGGAAGCCGATGATACCCAATTTTAAGGTCCTAGGTCATTGGTTGACCTTGCAGGTCAGGTCAATGACCCCAAAGGCGGGAAAATCGGGACCTGTTAGAAAGTCGTAAAGTGTGGCTGCTATGGGGTTTTTCGGGGTGCTGATCACGAATATCTTGTTAGTTTTGATCACAGATGATGTCTTCATGTATTTAGGCCAGGTCGGGTCAGGTCAGGTCAGGTCAACCAGTAAGGGTATTCGTAGTAGGTGGCAACCGCCTCTGACAGCTTCGTAACATGTTACGAAGGCACCAAAACTACTTCGTAAATGTTCATATGGCTGCTAAATTCAAATTCAGCTCCAAAAACTGGTCTAGGAAGTAGAAACATGTAAAACTCGAAAAAGTGAACCGAGGTCATCAAAGGTCAATGACCTGACCTGACCTTCAGGTGACCTTGACACCCACTCTAATGCATGGGGGCAACATCATATCACATGTTTGAACGCTTGAAACCACGAAAAGACTGCAAACGCGCGGCTAATGCGAGCCGACATACGCCGAATCGCGATTCCAGCCAAACATGATCTCGAAAAGTAGGTCACAGGTCCAAGGTCATTTGGGTCAGGGTCATGAAATTTTCAGGGTATGTGTGAAATTGATGAACGCGAGGGGATTGAAAGTTTCGTCGCGATCGGCCGCTTTTTATGCGTTATTTGCGAAAAACCATGGGGGGTCCGTTCGACCCCCCCCCCCTATATGGGCGAGGGTTAAATTAACGTGTGTCTCATATTATGTGGAAACCTTACGAGAGCGGCGACTTTGGCGCTGTGTGCTATAAGTGTCCATCTGGGGGTGGGTATTAATCGACATTTCTCCCTCCGGCAGACGGCCGGCCGCGCGCTGCGGCTGCTCTGGCGGCTGGGGCTCATCACTGGCTCGGTACAGTCACCCTCCGGCGGCCGGTCTGCCTCCGCGCCGGGCCGGGCGCGGCCGCCGGACCTCCCGCACCCGGTACCGCCGCTGGACGCTGCCGTGAACGGCTGCCTGGAGCGTCTGGCGGAGCGGGCGCTGGACGTGAGCCGTCTGCCGGCGCCGCCGCCGCAGCTACCACCCTCGCTGCCGCTGGCACCGCCGCCGCCGGCCGCCGCGCCGCGCCAACACTGGGCGGCGGATCACAGCTCTAATGGCTGCATGCGCTGTGGGGCAGCGTTCAACGCGCGCTTCCGGCGCCACCACTGCCGCCGCTGCGGTAAACTCGTGTGCGAGCCGTGCAGCAAACACCGCGTTCAGGTGAGGGCAGGCGGGGCGGAGTGGGACGGATGGGGTGGGATTGTGGTCAGTTTGGTTCTTACGTTACATAGGCAAAGTGGGAACACCTGGGTCCCTGATGTGGTGGTTGTTCCCTGATCGCGTGCATAACAAAATAAGAATAGATGTCTGCAGCAGCAGCATAAATGGGTGTGATATGATATACTCTTCGGGTCGCCAACGTCTCCTGTCTGTGTGTCCACAGTTGGACGGCTGTGGCCCGGCCCCGGTGCGAGTCTGCTCCGTCTGCGTGATGGCCGTGTCGGAGCAGCCCGGCGGCGATCAGCTGTCGCCGGATGACGTCACACGGGCGTAAGTACCGTCCTATTGGATCCCGGCCGACTGGACGGCTGCGGGGCGCATGGCGGGCTTGGGTCGGTAACGCTGTTGGGATAAGTGTGATAAGCTGGGGCCAGTTTGGTTATTGAGGGTCATGTGTAAACGGGCTGTCGTTTGGCTTGTCATTAACACACAGCCAGGGTAACACGGGCCAAGTTACCCGGGCAGGCTCACTGCAGTTGCCACCGTTTTGCGATTACGCCCTGCACGGCGCCGTTTGACCTCCCCGCCGGCGTCTCTGCAGCCGGGAGCCGTGCTCTGCCGGACCGCCGGCGCTGCGGCTCACCGACAGCGCCGCGCACAACGTCCGTCAGCTGGAGCGGGTGCAGTTCGGGCACGCGCCGTCCGTCTCCACATGCCTGCTGCTGCTGCAGCTGCACACAGATGCGGCGGCGGGCGGCCGGCTGGTGCTGCGCGCCGCGCGCCAGCTGCTCTGGCAGCCGCCGCCGGCCGCTGCCGCCCACCCGGCGCTCACGGCCGGCCTGGCACGACAGCTCGCCCTGGCCGCCAAACTGCTGCTGGCGCGCGCCGAGCGGCCCGCGGAGGAGATGGCCGCCTGTGACGCGCTGCTGCGCGCCGCCGACGTCAGCCGGCTGCTGGAGGAGGCCGGCTGCGGCGAGCTGTCGGCCGGCGCCGACCTCTCAGACCGCGCCGCGCTGCGCCGCCTCCAGGCCGCCATGGTGGGCCGGGAGCTGTGGCGGCCGGCGCTCGACGTCTCCACCAAGGCCGGCCTGGACTGCGGCGCCGTCTGGGCCGCCTGGGGACTGGCCACGCTGCGCGCCGGAGAACTGGCGGCGGCGCGGCCGCGGCTGGCGCGCGCCCTGCGCCCGGCCGCCGAGCCGGACCGCCGCCGCGAGCAGGCGCGCCTGCTGTCGGCCGTGGTGGCCGCGCTGGAGGCGGTGCCGGCGGCGGCGGACGCGGCGCCGGCCGCCCTGCTGCGCGCTGAGGCCGAGCTGGCGGAGATCTGCGCCGGCCGACTGCCGACCGTCGGCGGCGCCCCGCCCCCTGCTGCGCTAGACGAGGCGGTGTATTATCTGAGTACGTACGGCAGCGCGCGCCAGACGCTGTCACTGCTGCAGCGGCACGGCCTGTACGGCCGGGCGGCGGCGGCGGTGCGCGAGCTGACTGCGCGGCCGGAGGACTTTCACCGGGCGCTGCTGGTGCCGGCCGTGCGGCGTGGACAGTTACAGCAGCTGCTGGACGCCCTCAGGAAGGACAGCCCCTCCCTCAGAGGCTGGAAGGTGGGTGGCCACAGTACCGGCAGCTGTGAGCTTATAGGTGGGGATACGGCCGTACTGTGAACATATTGGCAATGCTGCAACCCCATTTCGATCGGTCGTAATGGCACTAACGCGCTTTATTTGGTAAAACGGGTGCCTAATGACCGTTAGCTTCCTTTGCTTTTTGTTTATGTCGCTCTCGTTGTGTTTCTGATTTGCTATTATTCCTGACTTTTTGCCTGATGCCGATGATTATGAAATACGAATAACTAATCCTGTGTAGCTTCATTTATGAGCTGTTGTGTCACCTGACCAACCTCCGTCGTATCTCTGCGGCGCAGGTGTACCTGGAGTTCAGCTGTGCGGAGCTGCAGCAGTCGGGCGCGTGGCACACACTGCTCCAACTACAGCTGGCCTGTGGGGACCTGCTGAGGGCGGCCAACACCTGCATCCGACTCTACTGCCGACAGACCAACTACCGCTGCTACGCTCAGGTAACAGCAATATCGGACGCTGCAGTCTAAATTGGCAAGATGCTTGGATAGAGAAAGGCCAAGGAAGTGGTGGTGCACCAGGTCGCTCTGTGCAGCCTACAAACCCTAAGCCATGATGGCGGGATTTATTCTAGTCACTGCCATGTCCTCATGAATATTTCTGTAATAATGCGTATTTCCAGCTGCGGGTATCGTGTATAACACGTAATGACGGTGTGTTCCTTTCCGTTTTGTATCATTCTCCAAACAGTCGCTGCACCATCTGGAGGCGGCCCGGGACCGACTCAGCGAGTATCTGAACAGAGCCGACTGGAAGGCCGCCCGCGCCCCATCCGGACGCATACCGCTCGTGTTGCCATGGAAACAGGTGTCGCAGCAGCTGACTGCCGTCGAACTGCAGATTCAGGTGGGTGATTGGTGGCACTGGCTGAATTCAGAGGGTTCTTGGCGGTGACGCGTTGGAGATTTGTCCGGGGCAGTAGCTGATGATGCTTTTGTTTCATTGCGTTTATTGTCACATTTAAAGCTTGGTTTACATTTACTGCATGCATATCTCTTTACACAGCAACAGCGACATATTTACAAATCGGCTCATTGGTGTGGTTTTGTAAAGCATCGCGATTTGCTATTCACAATGTGATACATGCGTGCACCGTAAATGTACAGCGTGATCGTGACGTATTGTACACTGAGCTAAGAGCTTCCATGCTTGTTTGTTTTTTTACCACTAGTTCCGGTAAACGGATCACCCGCCTGGTTTCCCTGAAATAAGGCTCACTTACTGAGCCATCACTCAAACGGTTAGACTCCAGTGTTGATCGGATCCATCGCAAATTCGCACTGCTGTTAGATGGCACGTATGTAGATGTCTGACTCCGTCTTCTCAATCTGGTTTCGTGGTGGGTGCTGGGTCAGTGTAGAGTTGAGCGACCCGTCAGTGCAGGCCGTCAGTACTCAGGGTGTGCCGGGCCGCCTGCTCAGTAAGGGCTGTGTGTGGTCGTCGCTCCGGAATTACGCTGTCGTTATTATTGCTGTCCGGTCGCCTGCTCAGCAGGACGAGTGTGCGTTAGCGCTCCGGTGGTGCTGATTGGTGCCGTGGTGCTGTCGGTGTTAGTAACCGCCTGTTCAGCAGGAACTATGTGTGGTCGGCGCCCCGGTCGTGCCGGCAGAAGGAGTCGCGGTGGGTGGCGCGGTGGTACCGGCCGCGGTGGCCTCCGGCTGGTAGATCTGCTGCCCGATGAAGTTGCCGGCCGGGCCGTAGTTGCAGAAGTAGGCCCGCTTGGTGAGGTTGTAGAAGTCCGTGTCGACCGTCTCGGTGTAGCCGCAGCCGACCAGTGTGGTGCTGGCCCAGATGACCTGGGTCAGGTGACCGATGACCTGACCCGACACGCGGTCCGTGCCCTGGGTGAAGGTCAGATTCGACTGCTGGAAGTGCGGCAGCTCGTCATGGAACCACTGTCCGATGGCGCGGCCGGTCCAGTTCTTGGCGTGGCCCCAGGTCCAGGCGGCGTTCTGGCCGACGGCGAAGCGCGGCACGGCGCGGCACTGGTCGTGCGACTGCTGGCACTGGTCGGCCCACCGCTGAGCCACGGTCGCCAGCTCGGCGTCCCAGGCGAGCGGCGGCATCTCGCTGGCGGCAGGCAGGTTGTTGGACGCGTACTTCCCGGTCCGCACCGCCTCGCGGATCGTGTTGTGAGCGGCCAGGATCTCTGAGATATCTGCGGCGCTGACGGTGCTGGCGGCAGCGTCCGGCTGGCTGCAGCTGGACGACGGGCCGGCGCTCGGGTACAGACACATGGTGTGTTGGGTACCGGATGGACACGTCACACCCGTACAGTAGTTGGTACCGGCGGCGGCGGCTGAGGCCAGCAGACAGCCGGCCACCAGGAGGGAGAGGATGTGCGACGAGCAGACCATGGCGCTGACTGGAGACTGTCGACTGAACTGCTGAACTGCTGAACTGCTGAACTTCTGAACGGCAGACAGGAGACTGATACTGGCTGACCGTCGGGCCCCGCTTATAAAGCCCTCCGGCTCTACCGGGTCAACCCTGTGAGATAGCACGTGTGGCACGGACTCTTGGCTAGGGCTCGGCTCCCACGTGTCAAGTTCATACTCATGTGGCCTGCGCGCCGTGCTTAGTTCAGTTTAGACTGATTGTTGCCAGCGGAACGGTATACGGGTGGTAACAGAGCGGGCCGCATTATCTGGTGCAGCCGCCCGATGGTCCGGCCGTCTGTGTGACAGGCGGCCGCCGAACCGGGAGGCACGTACCGCTCGCCATTACATATAATAGACAGTCCCGCCGAGATGTCAGTCAGCTGAGACCGGGCTGGAGCATTCACTGACTGTCATACACGGCTGTCAGAATGAATGGGTTAGACAGATGCGGTAGCGAAAGCCGTTTATGTGGTTCCGAATGCCCGCTTGTTCAGCGTAATCAATGGCAACGTTATTGCATGGGTTGATTGATATAACCTAGATTCGATAAAAATGATCGTACTGAAATTCTGAATGAGGGTAGTACGGCATTGATCGGTTGTATTTTGAGTTGCAAAATCGGTTACATTTTGACATTTTGAGGCTAATTCGAGGCCATCCGCGTAAAAGAGCCCACGGTTTCCGACGTTTTGGTGCTTTGTAGTGTCTCTACCTCTGGCGCGGCTGCGCCAGTTCAGGTACGCTGTGGCCTTCGCTGCACTTTACTGCTGCTGCACCAGGTCAGGTAGGCTGTGGCCTTCGCTGCACTTTTCTGCTGGCTGCTGCTGCTGCACCAGGTCAGGTTGGCTGTGACCGCCTTTGCACCAGTTCAGGTGTGTGACATTCATTTGTACTTTGGTTCTGCTGGTTCTCAGCTCAGCCCCTACTTCTGACAAAAGGTCTTTTAGATTACCTCGAGTAGGCTCTTGCGTGCTTGACCTGTGCGCGTGTGGTCGCTGGATTCCGCCCGAACGTTCGAAAGCAAGCGTGTGACAGCCGTTTCATCGAAATTCCCGGACATTTTCTGTAGTTTAATACGCTTTACAGTTACACCAACCACTGACCAACGTCTGCCCCAACATTGACCAGCCTTCTGGCCAGACCTGACTTGTTCCTTGACGTCTTCTTTCTTGTCCGCTTCATGGTCAGGTTTTGTCTTCTGGCTACCCGTCTAATTACCCCAGTTGCTGACCTGAGTCCTGTCCTGGGTAAACCGATTTGACCTTTTCGCATGTGACTTGATTCACGCCCCTATGCGCCTGAAATAGCGTCAAGTCACGCTAAAACACTACCTCTACCTCTCCGCAGGTGACTCGTTTTCTGAGCGAGCCGCGGCACCTGAGCGAGCAGACGGCGCTCTCGGAGGAGCCGGCGCCCACTCTGCTGGCCGGGCCGGACCAGCGGCGCCGGCTGGTGGTCACACTGCTGGCGGCAACCACCAGCGTACCGGACGCCCTGTGTCTGGCACACCGGTGAGTAGCGGAGGGAGGCGAAGGGCAGACGGTGAGAGGGTAGGCTCTGGTGGCTCGGGGAGATGGCGTGGGCCAGATAGGGAGATTTATCATTGAGGCTCGGCCTGCTCTTCTGTTTTACGGCGGAACTTACCGTATGGTCATTTTTGCCAAATGTTCTCTTCATTTAGCATTTCCTGTGATCTGAGGAAGTGTAGATGCTATTTGTTGAGTTTTTCCCGGTCATTGACTCCTTTGTTTCGATATCGCTGATGTGGTCGTCCCGGCTGCCGTCCTATACCCTGTGTATGGTGTCTCTGTGCGACCACCCGTTACCCAGACCGCTCTCTCCGCCGGCCGGTAGGATCGAGCGCTCGCTGGGTGTGGAACTGGGTGAACTGGTTCCGGCCGTGGCCGAGCGGCTGGTGGCGGCCGGCCGCTGCGACCAGCTGCACCAGCTGCTGCAGCTGCTCATGGACACCACACAGCTGGGACAGCAGACGCTGCGCCGGCTGGTGGCGCTGCCGCCGGCTGGCCACCCGTGCGTGGGCCTGCTGCTCACCGCCATCACCGAGCCCACCGTCAGGGTACGGCGATAAGACGGAACTTGGAGCGAGATGGGATATGGGGATCGAGCTAGGATGGTTTATACCCAGTAGGTTGAGACTTGAGACTTGGCGAGATGAAGTGAAACCCGATTATCTGAGGGGAAGTTGGACGGCTTGCACTTGGCTGGCGACGACACATACGGTCGAATGTACTGGGTAGGGCAGTCGTCCCAAATGGAGTCAATGCCTCACATTCGAAAGTTTGATAGTGGTGTAGGTTTGATTGCTTCATTACACTGTAATTTTGTATCCAATGTCAGTTATTTGTCACCAGTGACTACCGGTTTACTGTGACTGCTGTCCGTGATCGTTTTCCACCAACATTTTCACTACTGTTTCAGCTGGAGGCGCTGGTGCAGTGTCGCCGCTACAAGGAGGCCTACATGCTGGCTGCCAGCCGGCGCCGGCCTGCCGAGGTGTCCGCCGTGCTGGTCGGTGCCGAGGGGGCCGGTCAGACCACTGTGGCCACCATCTGCCGGCGCTGGCTGCAGCGACACGCGCCGCACCTGCTCGAGCATACGGCAGAGCAGACGGCCGAGTCTCCGCTGCCGTCCAGCGTGGCGAGCTCGCCGGGCCCGGCCACAGACCTGGCGTCCGGTGGATCACCGGCTGGTAGCTCCGCCGGAGCACCCACTCCGGCCGGGTCCGCCGCCGACGCACCGACTCCGGCCGCCGGCTGTCGCTGAGATCGGCCGTCCTGGATCCTTTATTGCTGAGAAGGATGGTTGTATCAGTTCCGATTCAGCGAAGGGTGTGGGGCAGACACTAGGGTCTCGCGTCACTTGTTCGGGCCGGCGACGGACAAACAGCGACCGATTCTTGACAGTATTGCATTTGACACCGACCCAGTCTGTCTCCTCCCGCCGGTCAGTCGGCGTTTTGTGAGCCGCTGCCGGGGGCTGTCACAGACGCCTGGCTACGGCTGGATCGTACGATAGTGTCCCGTTGCTGCGGGGCTGGACAAAGCACAACGATGGTAATTCAGGTCGGGCATTGGCTGTGAATGTGCCAGTTTCTTGTATGCGCTGTGCTTTAACGTTCATTTAGGGATTCAGTAGGGAACTATGTATCCTGTATTCTCCATAACCTATGGGAAAGACTGTGTAATCTAAAAAATGTATCTTGTTTATCTAGCGTCATTTGTTAGTAGGTCTTTCAGCTGGTTTACCCGCATCCTCAACAGATCAATATGCCTCTTTGAACTACGCATGGCTAAGAAACTTAAATTTGTACTCTTACAGCTATTATTGTACTGACGTCTTTGTCCAAATATGTTTTCTCAGGAGCGGCATTATACGATGACAGTTGCATCTTTCGTGCGTCCTATTGCTGCTAATCACACATTGCTCGCATAAATAGTGGCTTTCATCTGACTGTGTAGATTGTACTTGATATGGTTCCTACGGTATTGTACGACTGGGCTTAACACTTGGCTGTGTATGAATCCGGAGCGTATTTCATCAGTGTCAGTAGTTTTCTTGGAAACCTGTAGCTTTAATTGCTCAGTTCGGGTGCCAGTTTGTTCGGCAATAGTATGTACATGTTTTCACCTTGCAGGCCTGTGTTCGTTCCCGAAATGTCAGTGTTTGAGGTAGAATCCACGTTGGACGGGCCACATGTGACAGCCGCTGTTCGGTTGACATTGCCGAAAAATGACAATCCTATGAGCGGTCGATTGCGGAAACGCATGCGATTGGCCGCAATATGTATCCAAATGTGGACCAAAGCACGCAGTTATGTGACTGTTGTGTGATGGTAGTACTCAGCTGTGGGCATATTTATACTTTCTGCTATCATATTTTTGTATAAAGTGTGTTTTGTAAGCATTGCTGCACGTGTGGTACCAAATATATAGCAAAGAGCATCCAGCGTCATATTCCTTTGTACGAATTGAGTGTCTCTTGAACATCATTATGCATATACCGTGAGAGGTGTTATACGGCAGTATGGCGCGAGAATTGTGCCCGATTGACGAAAATGTCGACAGGAGAGAACAGCAACGAGCATTCGCTGACATGCGGGCATGTGTCGATTTATACACGATTTTGTTCTTAAATCCGTTGAATGGGCCATTGCTTTTTGGGATGAACTTCTATATGTATGGTATTCATGTTGATTCCTTTTTTGTGAGGGACGATATGTTTTCTGTCTTACTATAAAATATGTGGCAGCATTAGGAACAATGTAGACCGATGGCCGATAAACTTCATGACTGTGATATTCCCGAAGCATGGACAATCTTACGAAGCCACCTGCAGAAGGAATTGGTTGGAGACTTGATACCGATACCCTTTGTTACGGAAGGAGATCTGTACGATCTTTTGACCGTCTTCTACAAACAGGACTACGGAAAGGTACGAGAATCTTCTTTCTCTCTACCCTCCCTCGTATCTTCTGTCCTTCACTCACTTCTAGCTGTATGTGTACAGTCAGATAGTTCTCTGTGTGTGCCGGTGGGACTGTCTGTCGGCGTACTGAATCCATCTGACGGTACCCCTGCCGCCCGTACCGCCCTCAGGGTGTGCTGTCGCGACTGACCCGGCCGCGGCAGTACGAGCTGCTGGGACCGCTGGCCGGCCTGGCTGACCTGGCGCACTCCAACCGAGCGGAGCTGGAGGCCTGCGCTCGACCCCATCTGGAGGAGCTCGACTTCCCCGCCCAGTACACGGTAAGGCATACCTATGCACCGAGGCAAGAGCAGAGCAGCTCGGGAAAGAGTCATAGAACCGCCGATTGTTTGCATCGCTGGCATTTAAAACAGATGTGTTGCAAGATTCATTTATATTGTTATGGTTGTATTTCGGTAATTTGTGTTATATCCATCAAAACAACATTACCAGCCTACCCGTGCTTGCGGGTGAACGATACTTTGACGTTGGAACTGTCTGGTGCTTTCAGTGCGATTTGTACGGTAAATCCGGTAAGGAGATCCACCTCATTGTGAAGCAGCCGCACAAGAAGGTGGTGCTTCTGACGGCGACTCAGCCGGGAGACATTGTCATCGACAGGTCGGCGCACCCGGGTAAGCCGCCGCCGCCCCAGAGCGCCGACCCGGGTCAACTTGACGTACCCTGGGGGAGGGGAAATGGGGTCTGTAACTTCTTAACATGTCTCGGGTGCATATGGTTTCCTCTGGACACTTTGGCTAGACGCGAGCTCTTAGTCCTGACTTCACAGATGAGATGACTATGTACAGGGTGTTTCACAATTACCGTTACAAGAGTTCCCACTCAATTTTGGTGCACTTAAGGGTGGTTTTTCCGAAAACACTATACACCATTGGAAAGAACACACAATTTTGGTCCTGGTTAATTGCATTTTGAATGCCCTTTGGACAGATAATGGGTGTAGCAGATGAAAGACTGATCCAAATGAGGTCCGAGTCTGCGACCATCTCGAATATCAGGATTAGAGCCTGTGTGATAAGCTTGTTGCTCGCGGACCTGTTTGAAGACGGCTGTACATGGCTGCGTGGTGTAGTCAACAGGTATCTATTACGCACCTCCTGTATGAATTTTAAGTCTTCAGCGCACAGGCTTCAATGGCAATGACGTCATTTCCTACCTCGTGTCAGAAAGGTGACTTGCGTGCCGGCCGACGAGCCGACCTGGCGGCTGGGATGTGTGGGTGGATTAACGCGTGCCCCCTGCGGCCCGCCGCGATGCGGATCGGGGGCACTAGTGCATGAAACTCCAGAACGAAAGTTTCAACCACCAGAACGACCGCGTCCTGGCGACAGACAGCCGAAACGTGCCGGACAAGCACCGCCGAGTCTTCCGGACTCAGAAACCCGCTTCAGTGATGGTCTGGGCGGCCGTCAGCCAGGCCGGCAAGTCGCCGTTGGTTTTTGTGCCCGAGGGCGTAAAAATCAACAAAGCAACATACATCGAGACCATCCTTGAACAGACGCTGAAGCCGTGGGCCAAGAAGACGTACGGAGACAAGGGCTGGACTTTTCAGCAGGACGGCGCAACAAGCCACACCGCGCGCGTCACCCAACAGTGGTGCGAAGACAATTGCCCAGGCTTCATCACCAAGGACCAGTGGCCCCCATCATCCCCAGATCTGAATCCGATGGATTACACGATGTGGTCCGTGCTCGAGAAGGAAGCCTGCTCCAAACCGCACAAGAAGATCGACGATCTCAAGCGATCTCTGATCAGCGCCTGGCAGAAGATCCCCGACGCGGTTGTGCGTGCCGCAGTCCGTGACTTCAGGAGGCGGTTGGTTGCCGCTGTGAAGGCTGGAGGCGGCCACTTCGAGTAGGACTTAAGGATGTTGGTCTCTGTGGTTTTGGGTGCATATGGTGCAATTTTGGCGGAAATAAAGTCATTATGCCCACCCAGTAAAAAATACCATTTGAAACCATTAGGATTTACCAATTGGTTTCAAATGTGTCAAATGGTTTGAAATAGGTTCTAATGGTTTTTATGACCATTTGAAATGGTTTCCAATTGGTAATTTCCCAATTGGTCTGAAATGGTGTTTTCCATTTGGTCCCAATTGGTTTTGAAATGGTTTCCTAATGGAAAATAAATCCCATTTGATTTCAAATGGTGTTTTCCATTTGATCCCAATTGGTTCCAAATGGAATAAAACCATTTCATTCCAAATGGTGTGTCCCATTTGGTCCCAATTGGTATCGAAATGGTTTCCAATTGGTAATTTCCCAATTGGTCTGAAATGGTGTTTTCCATTTGATCCCCATCTTCCCAATTGGTCTGAAATGGTGCTTTCCATTTGATACCAATTGGTTCCAAATGGAATAAAACCATTTCATTCCAAATGGTGTGTCCCATTTGGTCCCAATTGGTATCGAAATGGTTTCCAATTGGTAATTTCCCAATTGGTCTGAAATGGTGTTTTCCATTTGATACCAAGTGGTATGTCCCCAATTGGTATCGAGATGGTTTCCAATTGGTAACTTCCCAATTGGTCTGAAATGGTGCTTTCCATTTGATACCAATTGGTTCCAAATGGAATAAACCATTTCATCCTAAATGGTGTGTCCCATTTGATCCCAATTGGTATCTAATGGTTTCCATTTGAAAGAAACTCCCATTTGATCTCAAATGGTTTTTCCCATTTGATCTCAAATGGTTTTTCCCATTTGATCCCAATTGGTGTCCAATTGGTCTCCAAATGGAAGAAAACCATTTAATCCCAAATGGTTGTCCCATTTCATCCCAATTGGTGTCGAAATGGTTCCCAAATGGAAAAGCAAATCTGTTTTGAAATGGTGTCTCTCATTCTATTTCAACTGGTGTCGAAATGAAAAATGCATTTGAAAAACATTCAAGGGTCGTTTTAGGCAAGAAAAACATACTTATATGGCAATAACTTTTATTCCATGAGATGAATAAAAGCAAAGTCCGAACCGTAGTCGGAGCTGGAGTCAATTTTTGAGTCAGAGTCGGAGTTAGAGTCATAAATCCACCACTTTGCAGCCCTGTTTCCAGATGTGTGACAAGTATGCTTCAAAAGTGTTTCTACCTTGATGGTCTCTAATGGTTTCAAGTGTGTTTTGAATACGGACTGGGTATCTATTAGTTCCCAATTGGTACCCTAATGGTTTCTAATGGTTTTTAAACATATACTTAAATAATAGACTTAGAGGTAATGGGATGACCTTTGACTGGTTATACTTAATAAGCATCACTACAAAGCCTTGGTTTTTCATTAAATAAAAATGATTCGCAAAATCCACGCCGTTTCCGCTCATTTAAACAGCACTACTTTTTCTTTGTGTGCCTACGCTGGCGGCGCCCGACCGTTGGCGCCGGCCGGCCGCGCCGGCGCCACAGTTCAAATCGGGCGTCGACGTCGGCCGCCCGGCCGCGTATTCGCCAATAGAGGCCTCCACGGAGGCCGGTGGATGACGTCACGGAAAATGCCGCCGGGCGCAGTCAGCTGCTGGTAGGCAAAACATTCCGTGGTAGGCGTTGCGCCACTATAGGGTGCGGCGGGAATTCGAGAGGATGGTGGAGGTTAATCACGTTTTATCGTGAAAAATGCCGACTTCTTGTGCTGCTTATGGTTGCACTTCTCGCTCTGGAAAAGATAAGGTGTCTTTTTATCGGTTCCCCAAAGATAATGACCGGTTGAATGCTTGGGTACGTGCTACCAGGAGGAAAAACTTTGTGCCCGGCGCTGGGGCAAGGATATGCTCTAAGCATTTTATCACTGGTGAGTACCTAGTTAAAAAAAAACTGTGTACATGTTTAATATGAATGTCATTTCTACGTCATGCATAATTGTGGAGTCAAAATGCCACAATATTTTTGCATGGCATCTCAGGCTATCAAACATATTGTCTATGGTTTGTGAGTGAAAGTTGATCCACCACCTAGACAAATTTTGATATATTTATTCAATTACAGGGGCACCAGTCAGTGAGAAAGGGAGTCCTGACTGGGTACCAAGTGTCTTCAACTTCCCGTCATCTCAGCATGCCAGCAACGTTGGGATCGGCGGAGTGAAGAGAGCAGAAAGGGCCCAACAAAGATCAGCTCAGAAACAGCATGCGTCTCTCCACCTGTCGGCTTCATCTGGAGATCAAGATGAAATGTGTACAGCCGAAGAACCAGTGTCTCAGGTGAGCTACAAACATTGGCTACTTAGGTACCTACCAGTTCAACCAGTTTTCCTGGCACCAAGAAGTAGGTAACTATCTCTATTTTGTTGATAACAATGCCTACTTTTTGTTATCTTGCAGGTCAGCATTGAAGAGGCCAGAGCTGCAGAGGCACTGCTGGAGATGTCAGCAGCAACTGGCACCCGTGAGGTTGGCTGCAATACTGATGGTACATGGGGAGAAAACCACAAGACAGTCGTCTCAGCTCTACTTGATAGAATTCATAAGCTGGAGGCTGAAGTCACATCGTTGAAGGAGGAGTGTGAGCAGCTGTTGAACAGCAAAAAGCATAACTCATTTGAGACTTTGAAAGAGAATGAAGAGGAATTTAAATTTTATACCGGGTTCCCATCCCTAGCAATGTTCATGTGGTTTGTAAGGGTTCTTTGTCTGGGGTGCGACCTTAGCAAAATATCCAGGTTGTCTGTGCACAACATGGTTCTTATGGTGTTGATGAAGCTCAGGCTTGGGACAACCAATCAGGATCTTGCATGGCGTTTTGGTGTAAGCAGGTCCTTGGTATCAAAGATCGTTCAAGGAACCCTCAGTCCAATGGCTGCAATGTGCAGGAGGCTCATCATCTGGCCATCAAGGGAAAGCATACAGGCCAACCTCCCTCTCTGCTTCCGTTATCCCGAACTTCGAAAGGTCAGAGTGGTAGTTGACTGCTTTGAAATTTTTACAGACAGGCCAAGGCATCTCACATCCAGAAAGAAAATGTTCAGTTCCTACAAACACCATAACACATGCAAGGTTCTAATTGGTGTGTCACCAGCTGGGGCAATTACATTCTTGTCTCCAGTCTGGGGAGGTCGATCATCAGACAAAAAGATCACACTGTCATCTGAGCTCATTGACATCCTTGATCCATTCGATGTGGTGTTGGCGGACCGGGGGTTTACCGTTTCTACAGAAATGGCTCTGTACAATCTCAAAGTTTTGACACCAGCATTTGTTCGTGGTCAAGCCCAGCTTCCTAGGGCAGAAGTAGAGAAGTCTAGGCTTTTGTCTCGAGCTAGAATCCATGTTGAAAGAGTCATTGGTAGAATGAGAACGAAGTTTCGCATTCTGAAGTCTACATTGCCAGTCACCATGTACACGCAGGTAGATGATGTTGTTTGTGTGTGTGCAGGTATCATAAACCTGCATCCAAGTGTGGTTCCGTGAGATGCCCCAAAACTCCATGGAATGCATGATTAGATGGTACTAAGTGCTGGTAACATGCTCCGATCATGTATTGAAAACAAACTCAATTGAGTTTGTTTTCATGACAGTGACATTGTTGATGAATAAAACAGACTTGCAAATGATTTGTGTGAGGTCACAAACAGATGTTATAGTTCGTAATCAGCATCACCTGTAGCACCAGCATCACGCCATAACCCAAACCCTTGTTATAAAGATAAGCTAGCACAAAAGATATATTTGTCAGCCAGACAATGATGATCAATGCAGCCAGCATAGCAAAATCAACACGACCATCTGGTGTCAGTGACAGAACAACCTACATGTGCACTAATGGGCACCCGGCACAGTCGCTAGCTATGACATCACTTCAGGAGTGCTGGCACAATCTCTTTCACATAAAAGGTTTCAAGAACCTTCACCAGGTAGTCACCCATGCTCTCCATGTACTTTATCACCAGAACATGGGGCTTCTGCCCCGGCACATACACACAAAATGCACATGACTTTAGCCCACAGACCATCATCTGTCCCTGCACCTGCATCATGTACGGGTGCTCTGCTTTGAGGTGCCCATTCTCATCTAGAAACCCAGCCTCCTGCGGAGACTTGTCCTTCAGGCTAAAGGGGCACTTCACCTCCAGAACCCATGTCCCACAGCATGCACACTCAATGATACCATCTGGGGAGGCAGCCAGGTAGGGGTGGTCAGGGCTGACGAACAGCCCACACTTACGAATTGTCAGCTCACTATGCATAGAGCTCAGAACCCCTTCTACAGCAACACAAGCATCTGCCTCGTGTGTATGTCCCCAGACTACAGCAGGCACTGTAAGCTTACAGGACGCTGGCTCCACGATCTTACGCACCAATGATGCACTCTGTCGTCCCCCCTCGACATGGCTCACCACCTCACCAAACACTGAAGCAGTCACCCTTCCATGCCTCTGGTTAAGCCACTCCTTCGATCCTCCCTGATCCACAGTAGCTCGCTCGACGTTCCCTATCACATCACTAGGGTACATCTTCTTCAGTTTGTTAACCAGCATCTCACAGTACTTCCTCGATGGCTCAGCATCACTAGGAGCTATCTTCTTCAAGATGGAGAACATCTTGTAGATGGGATATGGCAGCTCAGTCCTGCCATCCACAACATCACCACTGACTGGCAGAGAGCTTTGCAGCGCACACCCAGCAGGCAGATCCTGCAGCTCTGTCTGAAATGCAGCATCAGACATGATGAACTCGACGCTGCTTCGCTTGGCAGGAATGCCCATGTCTGCTGCAATGTCAAGGACCTTGCTGGGCTCCACCTTCTTCGTAGCTGTCTGATGATTCCATTGACAGGCCTTGCTTGTTGGTGCATTCTCTGTCAGTCCGTGGAGTACGGCTGCTTGGATCTTGTAGAGCACACCTGCCACATGGCTGCACACTTCTCCAAGTCCTG